GTATCTCTCTCCATTTATTAATCTGTCCCAAAGTACTGTACAGTATTTCTATTTTTTCGTATTTTTTCTTAGATTATCCGTATGCATTTATTTTTGCTATCATAACTAATCTCTGCACTATGTTTTCATTTACTTTTGGCATAGAGAAGATTTATCAATTTTGTAACTAGCCTTCCCAGATGTGCTCTTAGTTCTAATAATTTTTCATTTGGTCCTTTTTATCAATTGATAACTGCTTTATACACTTGATTTTAAAAAAAAATCTGGATCCAGGCATGGTGGCGCACCCCTGTCATCCCAGAACGTGGGAGACTGGGGCAGGAAGATCATCAGTTTGAGGTCACTCTGGCTTCATAGAAAACCTGTCTCAAACAAGCAAACAAAAATTCTTGGACTCAGTCAAAGAATAATTTCATATGATGTTAAAAATATAGAAAAATATACAACTTTGGGGACTTAAAAATTATTTGGCCTTGACTTCCACTTCTGGGGAAATGGAATTCATGTACTTTTCCTTATTCCTCTATTGAAGTACAACTGAAAGACTGAATATTATACACAAACAAATGTAACATTCTGAAAGATGAAAAGAAAAATGGTAGACTGACTAGGGAAACTCAGGACTCAAGAAATGATATGGTGATGCCTCAGATGTTCCAGACTTGGAGCTGAAGAAGCTGGCAATCCAGAAAGGTCAATAGGTCCAAGGCAATAAAAGCTTCCACAACAGCCAGCTCTCTATGGCCAAAGAACCAGGAAATAGACACCCTAGGAAAACAGAGCAACTGTTAAACAATAACTGTTCTACCCTAACCAAACACCTCAGAAAAAAACTGAAAAAAAAAAAATGTGACTCCCCCCTCCCCTCAGCCCATGACAGAATGACAGAAAGTGAGGAGCCTGGAAATTGCACCCTCCTGGACTGTGGCAAGTCGCCCAGACACCTGCACAACGAAACCTTATGCTCACTCTGCAGTTAAGTGGAGCCCTTCCTGTCACAGCAACGGAAGCAGAGTGGAAAGTCAGCACTTTTACACCACCCAGTCAGTTTGAGTCCACTTCCCACAACTGGTCACTAGAAGCCATGTGGCTTCCATTTAGTAAGTAAGGAGGTGCTCCTACCACCCCCACCAGAGTGGTGTCTGTAGAACTCCAGTGGGTAGCTGGAGTTCCCACCCCCCACCCAGGTGTAACGTGGAGCCCTCCCACCTCCACGTCAATGGAGGCCAAGTGGAAAACCTAGACCTTTACCTCCACCTTCTAGGAATGAGGCAGCACCACCTTCCCTCCATGAAACTGAAGGGTTCAAGATCTAGTAGTTCATAACATTCAAGTTGTCCAATTTTCAATCTGTGGGACAATTTGGATATTTCATTCACAGCAGTCATAAGAACCAAAAAAATTACAACTTCATTATTTTAAAACCATTGAGTACCAATGCAAAGGTAACATGTTATGACTCGCTAACAAAGATTCTTGTTTCAGCTGTCATAAAAATGTTACAAGTAATTTTGAACACATTTGTAATAAAGAAGAAAATATAGAAAGTCTCAACAAAGAAACAGATGTAAAGAAAAGTCAAACAGTAACTTTCGGAACTTAAAATATACCCTAACAGCAGAGCGTCAGTGGCTCATGCCTATAATCCTAGTTACTCAGGAAGCAGAGATCAGGAGAATCGTGGTTCGAAGCCAACCTGAACAAATAGTTTGTGAGAACCTATCTCAAAAAAACCCAACAAAAAAAAGGGCTGGTGAAGTGGCTCAAGGTGTAGGCCCTGAGTTCAAACTCCAGTACTGTGAAAAAAAAAAAAAAAACACCTCTTAACAGATGTGAAAATCTCAATGGCAAAAATGGAAGAAACAAATTAATCTGTGAATTTAGGAAGGGACGAACAACAGAAATTCCCAAGTCTGAGCAACCAAGAAAATAGACTGAAAAAATAATGGACAGAGACACGGATTGGTGGCACTCTAACCAAAGATGTAATAACATTGGTGCCATTGTAGAAAGAGGAGTATAGAAAGAGGCAGTGCTGAAAAAGTACTCCAAGAAATAAGGGTTGGAAAGCTCCATAGTATGCATCTTTGTTCACAGAAAGACGCATCATAGTCAGGCCTCTGAAAACAAGCCAAAGTTTTAAAAGCAGTAGAGAGAAAGAACAGCTTACCTATAGGAGAAAGGCAGTTCTATGACTGGCGGTTGGGCGGGGGGGTAGTTCATAAGAATCTTTGGAGGCCAGAACGAAGTGGCGTGACATTTTTCAAGTGCTTATAGAAAGGCCTATCAAAATATCATTTGGGAGCAAAGAGAGAACTAGAGATCTGGTCACCAGCAGTCCTTTCTTAAAAGAATGCCCAGAGAAAGTTACCTTTAAAACAAATGACAAGAGAAGGAATTTTGGGACAATGAGAAGGAAGGAAAAATACGAGTCAGTGCAATATGCTCTCCTTCTCCTCTTGAGCTTTTTGCTCATGGAAGCAAAAGCTATATCACGTCTAATATGGTTCTAAATGAAGACAGGAGAAATACTTAAAACAATTATAAATGGGATTAGGGTAAAGGTATGTGAAGGGAGGTAAGGTTCTTTCTAGACTCTACTGGATATTAAACTATTCATAAAGATGAGGCAGAAATTTTCCCTTTCAATTTGAATAGTATCAACCTTTTTTTTCTATGAGTTTACCGAGTCCCCTGCAGAAGAAGTGACTACCACAAGTCCTTGGAGAGCAATTTTGGAAATTGCTATCAATTTTTAATATCAAGTATTAACCCAGTAATCCCCTCTCTAAAAATCTATCTTAATGGAAACATTTATACAAAATAGTGTGTACAAGGTTGTTTACTGTAAAAAAAAAATGCTCATCTGTAGAGGAGGATCATGTGTGTATATATGTGTGTGTGTATATATATATGTGTGTATATATATATATATATATATATATATATATATATATATCTGAGTTTATACATGAAATAACAGTGTACTTTACACCATTTAGAGAAGAAAACAACCCATGGCATATTGTTGGAATTCCATTTTGTCAAAAATAAAGGATATATAACCAAATACATATTTATATGTTTGTATTTTTATGCATATGTATACCTGCTGTGCATATTTTAAAAGGCACATAATAAAAAGTTAGTGGTAGCTCACTTTGGAGAAAGTTAGATGAAAATAGGGACAGATACATAGATACATAGATACATAGATAGATACATAGATACATAGATACATAGATAGGGCTTACTTTATACGCTTGCTTTGTAGTCAGTGTATATTCTAATCTAGGTATGAACAGATTATTTGCATAAAATATATGTATATGATTTTGAACGTTTCTCTTTTTTGTTAATGTGTGGCACCATAATGTGTGCAGAAAGCTACAGTTTCCTTTTTATCTTAGCAGTATGTCTTAGAGATCTTCCCATTCCTTCTCATACAGAGCATTGTCACAATTGGCATATGGGATTTCCTTCTAACATCCTGCCCTCTGTGTCACATCCCTCAGGAGGTGTGCAGTAAATCTGGCTGTTGCCCAGGACATTCTGTTATGTGTTCATTTTCAGTTCTGCAGCACAAATCCTTATGGATGGTTTTTCTACCCAGGTGTTTGCATTTCCTTAGGTTAAATATACTGAAAATTAGAAATGCCAAGGGAAATGCTAAATAAGTTCCAATTTGATATCACTAAATTCTCTCCAAAAAGGCTATATACCCTTTTGTAGTTTTTTTCAAGCCCCCCTCCCCACACACATAAGGGCCCATCTGTGCTTTTTTTTTTTTTGTCCACTACATGACAAATGGATAAGGTGATAATTCCTTCAAAATTACTCTGTCTGCCATATAAGGCTCCCTCACACTTAGAGTCATTCCAAAGATGTCTCCATACATTGTGGGATTTTGTTCTGTAATTCCTTCTTTCAGTCCCATTCCCTTCTCTGTTCTGGGAACCCTCATAACTTTTGATCTGTGAGCCTTCTGATTTAAAAGTGTATTTGTAAAATATTACCATTGGGAGAAGCTAGGTAAAGGATACAAGGAACTCAATGTATTGTTTTTGCAGCTTTCTGTGAATCAGTTTTTTAATTTAAAAATATTTTAAGTCATTTGTCATTGCTAGGGATATGAATTGCGAGGAGAAATCTGGAGCAAGCGCTCAGTTCATCATTCAATTCCGTCCTGCCTTGTTTTGAATCATTACAAAGAAATATGTTATTATTGAATTAATAAAATTTCATATACCTTTCTTAAAAGAATAAGTGAAATAGATTTATATACACAGACATGAAGAGAAATTTACAAAATTAATTGGACTTTTGTATTTGTCCCTTTTAACAAGGAATTTGTGTTTCTTTTCTAATTTGAAAAATAAGATTGATGAATTAAGGTAAGTTCCAAAGATGTGTTTCAGTAAAAAGGTGCTCACCAATAAATTGGATTGAATTGATAACAGTTATGGATGTAATCCTTCTAAAGATAATAATTTTGTGTCTAATTTTTGTAAATATTTCCTATAAAAGAGCTACTTTCATGAATCATCATTAAACTTTTTGTGGGAACATGTGAAATAATAAAGACCAATTATAGACATATTTTCAGAAACTCAGGGTCACAAGATAGTGAAGCATCTTCCTTCAGTCCAGGCCACTGTGGACCACATGTTGGAGTAACGATGGTTACTTACTAGTCATTGTTTTGTGATGTTGCTACCAAGTAACACAGCACCACCCAGTTAATTGTATGTGTTTGGGAAAATTCCATTTTATCATTCCTTTTTATTATCCAGAGTGTTGGTAAAATTAAGCTTTCAAGCAGGAAATGTAATTTACCACCCAGTCTCTGCTACAAATTGGTGTGCTCTGCCCTATTAAGTGTTCACCCCAGACGTGAGGTCCAGATGAGACTTGGAGATGTGCTCTGTGCTTTCACTTTCTAAATCAGCTGTGGGAACTTGTTGCTCCTTAATCATTCTGTAACCCACTCTTTCCCTTAGGCTTTTTGGAAGGGCCATAAGCAGCGGAAGAACTATCTGCTCAGGCAGAAGTTGTTCACAGAGAATGTTGACTCTGTTGTGAAGGTAAATAACCTTTCCTGCCATACCAAGTGCTTGGCTTAACTTTTCCTGTCACTTTGACTTGATTCTCTAGAAGGCAGAATAGGGTTTGTATCAGCCTTGAAGGTTGGTTCTGGGTTTGAATGCTGACTCCGTTGACTAGACATTTTCAAACAAGTCAGCAACCAATATAACTGACCCATATCCTTTATGTGGTTATAAGAATCAAATATTTTTGTAACCACTAAATGTTCTTTGTCTAGAAAGTCCAAATTGATTATATTAAAGCTGAGTGCCCCACACACACACTCGAGTTTAATTTCGTGTTCCTCTTATCATATTTGCTAATAATATTTACAGTGCTCAAACATACCAACAGAAAGCCTTAGTTGTAAGGCAAATGCCACACCAATGATAGGAGATAGAGCTAATTTAGGACCTATATTTGGGTGTTGAGCTAGTCTAACCCAGAAGATAGCTCTGAGCTAAAGAAAGAATTGTGGTGACCACTCGTGTAGTGCCAAAAGCAAAAGAATTGTATAAAAATGAACACCTTGGAAATCCAGATGAGCGTTTGGACAGTTAGGCTGGCGAGAAATTGGAACCAGATAAATTTAAAAGATGCTTTCAACTGAAGACAGAGAATGACAGTGTCTAGATCCATCATGCATTATCTCCTTAATGAAATGGTGTCCTGTGTCACTATGGAACACATGCCTGCTCCCTCAAGGAAACTGTTGGAGAAGTTGGTCCCTCCTGAGGCCTCTTGAGCCATTTTTCTGTAGAAATATTGTTACATTGAGAGGATGATGGAAGAAGCTCTGGACTTAGTTTAATTTGATTCCCTGGCTCATTGCAACTTAGCAAAATGCCTGCAACTCTTGACTTTTATTTATTGAGATTAGAGCAAAATAGTAGAAAGCTACCTAACTCCCCTATCCCTCTCCTATTAAGGCAGTGAGATTAGGGTAACATATAAAATGTTTTCAACCCTTGAGAGAAACCAATGAAAGAAGACAGACATGAAGGGTAGGCTTTCAATATCATTTAGCAGGCTGCTAATTTTTATCAAATAAAATATCATTATTTTTAGAAAAGATTTCCTAAAACCACATTAAGGGTTGTTTGGTGATGGCTTTGGTTTCTCTGTCACTGTGTTTTAGATTCAGTCCTGGTACAGAATGGCAACAGCAAGGAAGAACTACCTTTCACGCCTGCAGTACTTCAAAGACCACGTAAGAGACATTCACGTGGTTTTTTGGCTGGGTTGTGAATGAACTAAATGGATGCTGATGGAACGTTAGCATTGACCGATTTTCATTGAGGGAAATGACCACTTGGGAAAGAATGGGTCTTAGAGCTCAAAGTGGTAGTGTTTGGAGGCTTATTTTTTTAATTCAGAAATCACCCTGAGACTTAGACTTCACCGGTCAGGAACAGAAATGAAATGAGAAGAGTAACACCAGATACAAGGTTCTAGAAAAATATTTTCCAATATAGCACATATAGCAGTTTTTCTAACTGCTAACTGAAAAATTTAAATCAAAGCCCACAGAAGGAATTTTTTCAGAATCTTCAAAGAATGGATATTTGAATATCTGTTAGATTATCTAAATTCTATGTTGAAATTCTTTTCCCTTTTAGATGTCATTATTTAAGCAGTCTCCCTGTAGTCTTGCTTATATCTATAGCTAACTTATTTGATTCATTAAAAAGTGGAGAAATAAATGTCAGATACACTATAACTATGTATCATTAGTTCTAAATAATATTATTTTTCCCCAATTTCAGTGTAGTGTTTAGTTTTTATGTACTGCATTTGTTTTGCCACAGCTCTTAAATAGTGTCCATGCTTAAAAGTTCCAAATTCTAAAATAGTAGAATAGATGGAACTCTGGGGAATCACGACATGTCTCCCATGTTTTGCAGAACAATGAAATTGTGAAAATACAGTCCCTGATGAGAGCAAGCAAAGCTAGAGATGACTACAAAACACTAGGTAAGTAGTTGCCTTCAGAAAAGAGCCTGGATTCCTTACCAACCACAAAGGGATGTTCTTTCCATCATAGTGGTTTTCGAGGCTACTCCAAGAACAGAGGATAACACCACTGTTTCCAGTAGACTTTGGTCATCTCGGACTTTAGGTTCTACACTAGTGTGCAAAGGAATAGGTGGTGACAGGAACAGGGTTTTATTGTTTGAAATGAAAGACAAGTAGAGTGGATATAATTTCTTCCTCAAAAAGAACAGAGTTGGCAGGAATGCTGCTGTTGTCATGTTAAATTTGAGCAATAATGAAGAAATTATTGCAAAAGAAGATAAATCTGAAGATAAGGTTATATTTAAATTATTCAATTTATTAGCTAGCCTATGATTTTTCTGTCTCATTTTAGGGATAAAACATGTTCACATATTCATATATGAAATTTTGGAAATGCAAATAAAAAGCAAGCAAAACACCATCTCATCTGTCAAAGATGATAATCACAAACATCTTTGTCCCATGATCCAAGGTCACTTCTCCAGTAAAGATCTTTTGAGTGGCAAAATAGTAACACAGATGATTCTAGATTTGGTTCTTCCTGCTGTAAATTGCTTATGATGTTGGTTTAACTCTTATCCCTTGAGAGTCAAAACACCACAGAACCAAGCTGGGATTATAAGGCAGCCTGACAGGTCATTAGATGAAGTAGAGGGACAGTCCTTGAGGTTGCCACAGCTAGCCAGGATTCTTTCAAGTCATCTTTCTATGATTGGTTCTAATCCTTCATCCCAGATGGTTTATTCTTACTGTTTACTGAGAGCTGATCTCAGTAAGCATGTTAAATTTTTTTTTCAAAGAGTCAGTGTGCCAGAGAATTACAGCATAAAGCTGAAGGTATTAAGGAAAAGTCTTCTTAGTATTTAGGTGGAAAACCCTCTCAAAGATGAAACTGGCCCCTGGGTTTCAAGGGAGCGCCCTCCCTTGGTCTATGCTGAAAGGTCAAGGACCAAGTTTCAACTTGTAATAGCATTTTACTTTTGCCAAGTAGAACATTCAATTCCTCTTATCATTCGGTTGATCACTGCTTGGCCTTTGCAGTCCTTGTTTGACCCTTCCTCAGTCAACTTTCACCTGGTTCAGACGCCTTCCCAACCGCAGCCAGAATATTGATGTCTTATCTGACTCAGCCACCAGGTGTCAGAGCCAAGGTCACTTGGTTAACTTTCTTTCCCAGATAAGACCATTGCTCAGTACATGAGTGCTGGAGATACTGTGATATTAGAAAATAGCAGGCCAGGCCTCATCAACTTTGGGCATTTGTTTATATGACTCTTCTTGTCAGGATTTTACATGACGCAGAATGATTCACTCCACAGACCAAGTACTTTCATTGGGATATTTTTCTGGTAATACTTTATTTCCAGGCCTTGTTTCTTTCCTGTTGGTAATAACTGAATTAAAATACACCAATTCTTTCCTCTGCAGTTGGCTCTGAAAATCCACCGTTAACAGTAATCCGCAAGTTTGTGTACCTATTAGACCAAAGTGACTTGGATTTCCAAGAGGAACTGGAAGTAGCACGATTAAGGGAAGAAGTGGTGACCAAGATTAGGGCCAATCAGCAGCTGGAGAAAGACTTGAACCTGATGGACATCAAGATTGGCCTCCTGGTGAAGAACAGGATCACACTGGAGGTCAGTGGGGTCAGAGATTGTCGCCTCCCAGGAGAGAGAAGATGTGTGTATATAATCTCAGCTCGTGTGTGTGCTCACAACACTTTTGTCCAGCGAAGCTCATTTGGAACCTGGAATAAGTTGTCCAAAGTTCATTTATCATTTTTACAATAGGGAAGTGTTTTCCCTGTTTATGACGTATTTTGTACAGCTTTTTACCTTTCTGAAATGAAATTTGCATTTAATGGAACCTACTTACCTATGTACCTTCATAACTCAGACCTTAATATAATTATGAAATAGAAAAACAAAGAAAGTAATTCAGAGCTGGGCACCAATGACTCACGCCTGTAATCCTAGCTACTCAGGAGGCAAATCAGGAAGATTGCAGTTCAAAGCCAGCCCTGGCAACTAGTTCCCAATACTCTATCTCAAAAAACCTATCAAAAAAAAGGGCCAGTGGAGTGGCTCAAGGTGTAGGCCCTGAGTTCAAGCAACAAAACTGCAGAAAAAAAGTAATTTAGCATTTTAAAAGCACATATTCTAATATGAAATACATGAGCCTGATTACATTAGGAGACATGATAAAGTCACCAGGAGCTCAGGCCTCTTCCCAATGTCACCACAGACTGAGAGGCAGCAAAGGACAATGATGCATTGATGGACTTATTTTCCAAGTCCTTGGAAAGTTTGGAATAATCCGGTTGTTGTCTGCCCCCAATATACACAGCAGCTGTAATTCTAGACCTAGTGTATTTTGAAATTTTTAGGGAGTAGAGAATGTATTGTGCATATTCGTAAAGCAATTAGATTCTAAGCTCAGATAATTGCAGACAGAATCTTGATCTCTATGAATGACTAGAAGGACATTCATGTAAGTCCTGCCATGCACGATAGGGGACAATTATTTACCCAGGACTATCCTACAAATTACCAGACAGCAGAGCATATGTCATCCCTAGCCCCCATCTGCCAGAAACCACCAGTACCTTCCAATTAGCACATCCAGAATACCCCTACATATTTCCAAAATGTCCCCAATAGAGTGGTTCCACACCCATTAATAGCCTCCAAATAAATAATGCTGGGGGTTCGTATCTGGGTGAAACCCCATGTCAGAGCTCCATAAAAGTACGAAAAGAGTCATTTTAACCTATAAACAAATTTCTAGGATAAGACCTCTCTCTATGTACCTGGTCCTTTTCCATATGCCATGTTAGTTTTCAGAAAACTGTGTCAAATCAAAGAGAGATGTTGACCTTCTAGAAGCTGGGAGAAGGCTATGGTAGATCAAAAGTGGACAATCAACTGCCAGTGACTGAGCTCGTGGTTCTGCTCAGCTGGGAGATGAGCAGCCCTGGGGGACCTTAGAAGTGGGTGTGAGAATGCCCCAACCTTCTCCAGGCCTCATAAAGCATAAAGACCCCCAGAAGAGAACTAAAGAGAAAAAGAGCAGGTGGTAACATAGAAAATGATAATGTTGTCTAAATACTCAAAAATAAAAAGCTATTAACTGTTTTCATTATTGTATCTTTTGTCCAAAATTATATATTTGTATTATTTGATGCACTTGACAGCTTTTAAAGTATAATATATTCCAGAAGGTCCTTCGGAGAATTCCTTTTATGGTCTTAAACTGCTATTGTGTCCTGCTCCCATAAACTTGTAAACAGGAAATGTCTTGGCTTTTAAAATAAACACTTAATTCCAGATCAGTAGATAGTTTAAATATTAAGTGTCTTGTAGAAATACAATCATGGCAGATTTCCAGAGCCCTATGAATGTTTGAGGTTTTGCTTTTTTTATTTGTTTGTTTAAAAAAGATATTTATTACTAATTTTAGCATTGTGAAACAAAGTTAACTTTTTCAGCCAAGTACAGAATCCCAGCTATTTAAGAAGCTGAGGCAGGAGTATGGTTTGAGCCCAGGAGTTCAGGGCAAGCCTGGGCAACATAGCAAGGAAAAAGAAAAAGTTATTTTTTTAATATATTTTCAAACACCAACTATGTATCCAACATTTATTAGAAGTTAAATTAATGATTATTAAATATGGAGTCTTTAGTCTTATTGGTAGCATTTTTAGCTTGATGGTGAATATACAAGTCAAAAGTTTATTTGTGGTACTACAAAATAGAAAACAGATTAAACAATAAACTGAGGCCATTGAATTAATTTGATATGTATTGTTACACAGCCACTGAAAATGTTTTTGAAGAATGTTTAAGGACAAGGGAAATGACATATAATAAGAAAATAAGAGAAGAAAATAGTGCCTAAAGCAATATGATTTCTTTTACTGTAAAAGGTTGCATGTTTTTCCTCATATGTGAAGGCTAGACCTATAAGATCAATGTACACGTAAATACACATATGATCTTATACACAAATACACATGTATGCATGTATATATGAATGAGGGAGGTAGGGGAAGGTGGGAGAGGGAGAGAATGTTAGTGAGTGAGAGATATTGAAACATTGTGAAGATAATGTAATACAGTGCACTGTGAGCTGTTGAATAATAGGGGAGCAAGGTGATAGAGAAAGAGTAATAGAGGGGGATTAATCTGATTAAAACATGATACGTACATGTCCGAAAGGCCAAGGCAAAACCCCCTTGGACTATCAATATACACTTTGAAAAAATGAAGAACAGGGAGTAAAGCAGCTCCATTCCAGTGATTGGTACTAGGGAAGGCAGAAGGAAAGGGTGAAGGAGGGCGAATATGGCGAATGTATTTTGTATTCATGTATGAAAATAGAACAATGAAACCAGTTGAAATTAATCTAAGAATAATAGGTGAATCTAATTAAGATATATTGTTAAGCACATACGTAAATGTCATGCACAATGTATTCCCCCGCCCCCCCACCCGCATACAACTATTATATGCTAAGAAAAAAAATTTACTGAAGAAAACTTTACCGCATACAACTATTATATGCTAAGAAAAAAAATTTACTGAAGAAAACTTTAGTGAACTTTCTTGAGCAATAGAGTTAAATTGATCTTCTTTATAGTTTTGATTCACATTCCTCTAATAACCAATGAGGTTGAGCATCTCTTAATACATTTGTTGGACATTTTTATCTTTTTAGGAAAATACCAATTGAAATCCATTTTTGAGGGGATTTTTTATTTTTTGCATTATAAGATCTTTTATTTATTTTAGGCACAACTTTCTTATCCAATGTAGGATTTGCAAATATCTTCTCCCATCCTGCGAGTTATCCTTTTATTTTGATGATATATGTTGAATCACACAAAAGTTTTAATTTTGATGAATCAATTTTTTTTTCTGTTGTCACTTGTGGTTTTGGTGTCATAGCTGAGAAACTATTACATAATCCAAAGTCACAAAAATGTATGCCTAGTTTTTCTTTAAGAGTTTGTTTTGAAAGAGTTTTATAGCTTTTGCTGTTACATTTAGTTCTCTGATCTCTTCTGAGTTAATTTTTGTTTATTCTATGTCTGACTTCTTTGGAATGTGGATATCCGGTTGACCCGGCACCATTTGTTAAAAAGTCTATTCTTTCTCTGTTGAATTTTCTTGGTGTTTACCTTAAATCTATCCTACAAGCACATGAATACAGCTTTGGAGAGCACATACTCCAAAAGTGAAATCCACCTGCAAAGTACATTTCCTTAATTTAACGTTCTCTGTTCTTTTGTTTCCTGATGAGGAAAGTGTGAAAAATGAACCTTTCTGGCCATCTGTGTTCCAGGGTGTGTGGGAAGGGAAGAGGTAAAGAATACCAAGATCAAAAGTAGTAATGTCTGAAAATTCTTTACAGGACGTAATCTCACACAGCAAGAAACTGAATAAGAAAAAAGGAGGAGAAATGGAAAGACTGAATAACACTGATAACCAGGGAATCAAAAGCTTGAGTAAGGAGAGGAGGAAAACACTAGAGACCTATCAGCAGCTGTTCTACCTTCTGCAGGTGAGCACGTTGTCGTTCTCTGTGGATTTTGGATAATCACAATGTTCCAAGTTTGTGATTTACAATGGCTCTTTCTCCAGGCTTCAGCAGTAATAGTTTGCATGCTTTGAGCACCTACAATACCACCCACTGGTTTAGGTTAGTTCTTACTACACCCCTGGGAACCAGGAGAGACTAAATACTGTCCTTCTTCCCATGGTACAGAGGAGAACACTGAGACACAACCAGTAAATGGTAAGGCAGGACCCAGGCAGTTTGACTTTGTAGCCTTTGTTCTTCGCGACTATATCATACAACACAAGCAGAAAAACTGCACAAGCAGAAATCCTGTAAATCTAATAACATAAACAGAGGATGTTAATGTGAAAAACTGAAGTCACTGTGCAACACAGATCTTTACAAGAATGAAGCAGCCCTCCTTCAGGGGACAGAACCAAGGGATTAAGAAAAACTGTGGTTTTTTATTTCGTTATTTTCATAACATTACTGTGATCTAAATGAATTGTAATTTCCCATTGCTTTTGCAGAGCTGTGAGAACTAGTAAGTTTAGGTGGTTATGATTGGACTTTGAAGGACTCGTTATTGTTTTGCTTCACCATCAATTTACCCATCCACCCTACTGACTCATGCACTTAGTCACAGAGGAACCTGGAGGGGGGTGGTGATAGTGGTAGATAGGTACAAGCACCCCTCTACAGGAAAACTTTGCCAAACAGGCAGATCAGTTGTTTTGTGTCAGGCACCCAGTGACCCACATGGATTCTTTCAAGGCCTGAAGATTCCTGAATCTTTGCCTGAGGATGTCACTGGAATTAGATGTATAGAGAACACATTATACAAACCATAAACAAGAGTTATGACTAGTCCTGTTGAAAGACAAGATGGTAATTTTCGCACACTTGAGGATTCTCTATTTGAAACAGATTGGGGAATTCTCTTGAAACAGATGAGGTGTCTCCAATGGCCACTGTGTGGCAGCATAGAAAGTAAAATGTTAATTAGAGCTATGGAATCTGCTGTTAATCCAGCTACCTTTCCAGAAAGGGAGTCCACTTTAATCAGGGAAGGTTTTTTTTTGTCTGCTTAATTTAGAATTGCATCATCCACCAGTTGGACATTTATCATATTTTGTATCCATGAAATCCCAACCTTATGCAAGTTTTTTAAGATTTAGTTTTCCTAAATTTGACAGAATTTCTGTCATAAGAAAAGTAAAAATCTAGTCACTGGCCTAAGACTTACACTGTTTGCCCTGTTATAAATGGAGGCTCAATAATGGAAAGCAGTAAAGGCCCAGGCACATGTTTAGAATAATTCTAGAAGCTTTATCCTCCAAACAATTCCAAACTGGGCCATTCAGTTGTATCAAGTGAAGTGTCGCTTGTGTTTTCCCGCCTTTTCTTCTCTGTCTTTTTTTGCATAATTAGCCCAGGGTCAGTGAAGAAATTGTAGAAAAGCAAGTGGCCTGGATCGCTTTGGTCCTTAAGTTAAACTTTAGTAAGCATTTTTAACAGAGCAGCAGAATTTGCTTGGATTTGTCTTTTCAGTCTTAAGACAAATGTAAAGGTTTTGGGTTCCTGAGGGGAGAATAGTAAGTAGTCCTCTTTTTCATGATTCCTAGTTGCTTGGTGTTAGAAAAGAGCTATCAAACTCTTTTGATATTACAGAGCTATCAAAAAAAAAAAAAGAAAGAAAAGAAAATCATCCTGACTTTGTCATGCATAAAATTTCAACCAATAATTACAATTTCAAAAGCAAACCTAAATAGTAATGTAACCCAAACCAGAATTTGTGTCACCCTGTAAACCTTAAATCCAAACTGCTGGAGTATATTCAGGTGAATACTGATTATCAAACATCTAGTGTTACTCGCTGTTATAAATTAAACCTTTTCTTTTCTCATCAAAAGGAGGAAATAGGAGTGTTATATTTCTCTGTATGGCTTCTTTCCTCTATAAATACCTTTTAGTTTCTTTTAAACTCCCTGCCCACAATCTGATCAGTATAGCTGCCGAAGGAAAACCCTATGGTTTATAAAGGCTGATACTGTATCTCATAGAACCTATCCTCAGTGGAGCCCTGAGGGCTCTGTGTTAATTTAACTCTTGTCAATCTTTTGAATTCTTTTTTGCTGTTCTCCCATGCTGACCTTCATCTCTCTCTTTAGCCTCCTTACCTCACACTACCTTCCTACTCCTCATAGAACACCATGCCATCCCACTGTGTCCACATGGAAACATAGCCTTCTCTCTTTCTTTCTAGTCTCAGAAGATGTTATGTGTTTTCCCCTGTTCATCCATCAGTCCTTCTAGGCCAGTAGAAGGACTGGCCCTTAGTAGCTGGGCCATTAATCTATTCTTGCCAGTCTCTTTGGATACCAAATTCTGTGTTCCCTCTCTTCTCCATCTCTACAGTAAAGATCAATATATGATTCTAAAGGGTTAACAGTGCCAAGTATATAAAAGATAATTATATATCACAGTAAAGAAGACATTTAAATCCTATCATAACTTTCTAATGTAGCTTCTTATGCTCTAGTATTAATGATATTAGCTGATACCTTTTAAAGTCTTACATACTCCTCGATATGCTGTTAATGAAGTCATTGAAGAACAGAGAATCAGGTACTGTTTTCTACTTGAATAATGTATTGACCAATAGTTGGGGGGGGGGGTCTTGTTTTGTTATTTCCTCTTTGCTTTTAGACCAACCCTTTGTACTTGGCTAAGCTGATTTTCCAGATGCCACAGAACAAGTCAACTAAATTTATGGACACTGTTATTTTCACGCTGTACAACTATGCCTCTAATCAACGGGAAGAGTTCCTGCTGCTCAAGCTCTTTAAAGCTGCTCTGGAGGAGGAAATAAAGTATGTACATAACTGTGGGTGCGCAGACACTGGCACACAGGCCCTCTGGTTATCGGTGGCTAGCTCAGATTTACTGAAAGAATTTTAAAATGATGCGGTGTTATTCATGCATATTGAAATAGATCGAGTTTCTTGAGACTCACACGGAATCCCTGTGGGTGGTTGAATTTCCGCATTGTTAGAGCTATATTATGCTACAGCTTTCTCGCACCAGTGAACCCTTTCTAGGGTTCAATTAACTATATTTTCCATGTCCAAAACTATTAGAAACCAAAAACTTACTGAAGTCAGTGAAGAGATTTATTAAAATTCTTTGGATAATAAAACCATCAGTGAGTGGATGGAGATCGTGATGCCTGCCTGCATAGTCTTTCCTGTCTTACTAGAACTCTAGCTGTTTTTGCTAATTTGTTGACTTAGTTGATGTAAAAAAAAAAAGGTGCAGGTAGCTAACTTAGTGCCCCCCTCCCCAAAATGCCTGAGAAACATCCTAATCCAAGGTGAACCTTCATTGCCTCCCTAACTTCCTGGAACTGTAAGCTCTGCCAGATCCAAAGGGCTTCTGAAGCACAGGAGCCAGGCACCTGTGCCTTGGGTGCCTGTCAGCCAGCATGAGATGGGACTCATGAGCAGTGGTAATGGCCTGCGGTGACTGTGGTAAGTACTGAATGGATGACTCGAGCAACAGGACAGAGTAGAGGGATGAGAAGAAAAGACCCACCTACGTGGACCGAAAGAGATATTATGGAACGAGAAGCTGTTTAACCCAACACTTCAAGAGGTAGCTGCATATGTTATTTAAGACGTGGAAAAGAGAAGAAGGAACAGCATGGACACAGGTGCAAGACAGAAAGTGGATTAGCCTTGCCAAGATGTGACTTAGTGAGTGAGGGGAGATGAAGCTGGAAAGGTAGGCACACTGAATAGGAGCCCAGGTGTTTACCTTCTGGGGACCAGCAGGATATTGATGTGACCACATTGGTTTTTTTTAGAAGATTAATCTACTTGTGCTGCACGAATAGAATAAATGAAAGTCACACAAGTCAGAGAAATAGGGGGTAAGAAGGAGGGAGGTAGTCTGGATGTTTAGCACACTGAATTTTAGCAATGGGTGGTGAACACATGGTGGAATGTGTAGGAGAAATTCAGAAATTCCAGATTGGCCCCCAGGAGGGGTATGGATTAAAAGCTGAGATCAGAGGACAGGTCCTAAAGAGATGTAGCTGAAACTATTCTGGGAGTGAAGTCTGAGGGGCAAGCAAGGGGGGTGGCAAAACTTTCTTTGGTGGCTCAGTTACTGTTTTATTGGACCATTGAGTTCACCCCATCTGCCCTAATAACTCATACAATTAGTCAAAACGAGAAAGAAAACAGAATTTAAAAGTGGAAGAGGAGCCAGCAAAGGAAAGAAAAAGAAGTGACTAGGTAAGATAAAAACCAGAATAGAGCACTGTCAGACCCTAACAGGAAAGGAAGTAGAAAATGGGGAAATTGGTCAAGAGAGAAGAGGGAGAAAGTTGTACAAGGGGTGGGGAGAGAGGGAAGAAGTCATAAGGAATTGGATATCAAAGTCTAGAAGAGTGTTCAGTGATGGGGTGTGTCTAAAAGCTACTTGGCAATGAATTAGAGTGGGATCTGAACATGTGTAGATAGCTCATTCAATCACGAAAGTACTTGAAATTTTGAAAGAGGGGGTCCAGTACTTATACAGTATCACCTGGAAGTGTTAGTCTTGGTCTACTTTTGACTCATACCTGCCTTCTAGATTGAAATTGAGACTGAAACCAATTTAGATCCTTAGCTGTGTTGAAAAACACAGCTGAGCTTGAGGAGTGGCTCAGCTGGCAGAGCACTTGTCTGGCAATCATGGGGCCCTGAGTTCCAACCCCAGAACTGCCAAAGGAAAAAAAAAAAAACATACACACCTTACAAATGATTGCTTCTTTTCAAATCATACCAACTGTGATCTTCATAAATAAAAATATAATTCCATAAAGTTTGAAAACTCTATACATAGAAACAAATCTGGTTTTTTGTTGTTGTGGTTTTTTTTGCTTTTTTTTTGGCTTGGGCTTTGTTTAGATCAAAGGTAGACCAGGTACAGGAGATAGTGACTGGTAACCCTACAGTCATCAAGATGGTCGTCAGCTTCAACAGAGGTGCCCGGGGACAGAACACCCTACGCCAGCTCCTGGCTCCAGTGGTGAGAGAGATCATTGAAGACAAGTCCCTGATCATCAACACCAATCCTGTAGAGGTATACAAGGCCTGGGTGAACCAACTAGAAACACAGACCGGAGAGGCCAGGTAACAATGCAGGAAGACAATCATTTTCAATCATGTATTATAATCGTTTGGCATGTGCATTTATGTACACTCTCAGACTCTACTAAGCAAAAAAATAATCACTGTAAAAAGTTAATTTTCAGTCCAAAATGTGACCTCCCTTTAACACACCCTCACAGGTCACATTCTGAGACTGTTGGTCATCTTGATACTAAATTTCAGAACCAATTTCTCCCCAGTGCCATAGCTTCTGTAGTTGTCTCCCTTCTTTATTCTCTATGTGTTCCTAAATCTAGCCCTAGGGATGGTGCACACTTTCTCTTTGCCTGACAAAAATCCTTTTTTAGTTACCCAGTGAGTTAACTTCTGTGTGTAAGCAGTAATAGTCCAGGTAGGACAGGTTTGTTCTGGGAGGTGGTTTGTGGATCTAAGCAATCGTGGCTTTTGATTTCCTGAATGAGGGGGTCTTGTGAAAGAATTTAGATGAGCATAGAGGATTATGTGGGTGTTGTCATAGCACCATCTGTAATGGCAAAAGGTCAAAATACGTAGCTTTGTAGTAGGAAACAGATGCTTCTATAGCACAAAATAGCATAAGTGTTTGGAATGGTGGAATAGATATATATTTATTGGCACAGACACTATGCTCATGATTTATTTTTCAGTTGCAGTTAGGAACAATAACCTGTTTACTTTTTTAAAAATTGGCCATGTAAACAGGCGTGATGGTACCTAGATAGGTGTAATTTCAGCACTTGAGAAGCTGAGGCAGGAGAATAAAGAGTTTAAGGCCAGCATTGGGGTACATAGCGAGACCCTGTCTCAATTTAAAAAAAAATTGGTCATGTATATACACACTATACACAAATTCCATTGCAGACTTGGAAGTTATGTACTAAGCTATAAAATGAGTTATCTCTGCACTGGTATTATGTTTATTATTTACTTATCTATATTTTTTTCCTATAATGCACATACTGCTTTTTATTGTTTAAAAAAATGAAAAAAGAGAGTAAGAGTTGGGAATGTGGCTCAGTGGCAGAGCGCTTGCCTAATATGCATAAGGCCCTGGGTTCAGACCACAGCAAAGAAAAAAGGGAGGAAGAGAGAGAGGGGATCCCTGAGGAGCTCAAAGGGAGCTCCCTTCTGCTCCACTAGTGACACAAGGCACATCCTTGCACCTCACTTAGCAAAATCTTGTTATTGGCGTCGGAGACAATGTCCAATGCACTGCAAAAAGCTTGACTGTAGAGCCAACTTGGCAAAAATACTAATGCCTGTACCTAAGCCTCCAGTTAATTTAAATCCCTTGTGTTTTCAGCAAGTTGCCTTATGATGTGACCACAGAACAAGCCCTAACACACCCCGAGGTGAAAAATAAACTAGAGGCTTCTATTGAGAACCTGAGAAGGGTCACCGACAAAGTCCTGATTTCTATCATTTCTTCCCTTGAACTACTGCCGTAAGTTGGATTTGAAGCAAATTTTAACATTCATTGCTGGAAGTTCTTGGAATCCTGCATAAAGTGAGCCCCTGTAGTGAAAACAGGAGTCTCTCCCTCATTTTGTATTTACTATTTAAAAAGGTGGCCTTCCATCATGATGGCTCACACCTGTAATCACCTGTCCAAGTACTCAGGAGATTTAAGGCAGGAGGATAAGAATTCCAGGTCAGCCTGGAGTACATAGTGATACCCTGTCTCAAAAAACAAAACAAAACAAAACACTAAAAACCAAACAATGATAACCAAAAAAAGCCCGTATTAACCTTTAAAATGTATAACTATTCTCTAAAGAAAAAATAGTGCTTTGATTGTAGGCGGATACAGAGCTCAGGTATTATCATCAGTGGAAGTCCTGTGGTTCCATTACCATCTCATTTTATGTTTAATTTTGAGGAAAACTACTCAGCTATAGGTGACTGGAACAATTGCCATGTGTTTCTCCCTCACTTAGCCTTTTTCCATGATTTTTCTTTTGTCATCTGTTTTGTATGTAGTTATGGATTGAGGTATATAGCCAAAGTTCTGAAGAATTCGATCCATGAGAAATTCCCTGATGCTTCAGAAGATGAGCTATTAAAGGTAGATTTTCAAGGGTAATCTCACCATAGCTTTTCTTTGGGGGTACGAGCCAAAATTGCCAACATGCCATTTTGTAAGATTTTTTTTTCCCCATGGATGATAATTTATAACAAGCTACAGGTCTCTAATGGCTGTCAAGGTCATTGGTTATGCTGAGTTTAATTTGGAAATCTTTAATATATTTGCTCTTCTTTCTTTGTGAGCATTTTGGGGACACTAAGCATATTTTTCATCAAAAATACTTTATTGTTAGCATGTGATTATATCCACTCCTTTTACTTAATGCTTACTTAGGTTTCAGATCAGAAAATGATCTGCTTTCTCTTGGGAAATATACATGAATATATACGTTAAGGAAAAACAAGCTGAACTCTGTTTTCTCTCTTAAAAATGATCTTTTTTCTTCTGCATCACCCAGATTGTTGGAAACCTCCTGTACTATCGGTACATGAACCCAGCTATCGTGGCTCCTGATGGCTTTGACATCATCGACATGACAGCTGGAGGTCAGATCAACTCTGACCAAAGGAGAAACCTGGGGTCTGTGGCCAAGGTTCTTCAGCACGCAGCCTCCAACAAGCTGTTTGAGGGAGAAAATGAGCATCTCTCATCTATGAACAACTATTTATCAGAGACGTATCAGGAATTCAGGTGAGAAGGACCTGTAGTTCTAAAGAAACTTGCAGAAAGATGGGCATGAATAGCATGTGTTCTGTGGCTGGAGCTGGAGTCCTAAGGTGGACAGGAACTTCTGGTGACTATGTGCATTTCTTCTAGCAGTTGCCACTGGGGGGAAGAGAAGGGAAGGAAGAGCAGGCAAGGTTGATGGTGCCTGGTGTGCCCCTCCCCCAGCCCTCCTCTACACTGAGTCCTTCCTATCTTCTGATTTGTCACTGACAAAATCAAATACTCCTCCTGGTAAGCTACAGGCTTATAGTCATTAGAATAGAACACTCAATGTAGCAAACAATGGTAGGAAATGAAGTATTTAGCTATGAAAGGTTGGGAAAACCCCAGATTTTATATTTGTAGATGATCATGTATGAATATGTGCTGTCCTCTCAAGCCTTTCTTCTTCATTATATACTATATAATATATACATATATGTACACACACAAATATTATACAGTACATATATATGTATATATATGTGCACACACACATATACACATATATACATATATATATATTCCATCTGGGCAAGGGTTTTTTGGACAAAATCTACCTAGGACTTCTAGGCTGTCATCACAAGACACCTGGCTTTCCTTTATCTCTCTTTCATTGTTTTCTGCAGTTTAAAATAGACTTTCTAGGGTCTGCAAGCTGGGGCATTTTATGTGTTTGTATCCCTAGCCATAACAGTCCTTCCATCAGCCAGCAGCTATTGCTAGGATCAACTAAGAATGGAATAGTCTTGACTCTCATTTTTGTCAACTGGTAAAAGAAGCTCTGAAGGGTCGTTAGGGTGGTATAGACACAGCAGCTTGTGGCATTTACGATAGCAAATTTTGATGAATTGCTTTTTGGATAGTGTCCTGTACAATGACTGGATTCTCAGATGAAGAGTTATTAGTCTTGGGGCCGGGCTGTAGCTCAGTGGTAGAGCATGCTTAGCTTGCACAAAATCCTGGTTCAATCCCCAGGATGTACACACAAAAAGGAATTCTTAATCTTGACATTTTCACTTAAATTTCAGGAGCTTTTTTTTTTGGCAGTACTGAACTCAGGGCCTCACATGTGGAGGCAGGCACTCTACCACTTGAGCCACTCCACCAGCCCTGTTTTGTATTGGGTGTTTTCCAGATAGGGTCTCAAAAACTATTTGCCAGGGTCTGGCTTCAAAACAAGATTTTCCTGATTTCTGCCTCCTGAGTAGTTAGGATTACAGGCACGAGCCACCAGTAAACCTGGACAGGGGCTATTTTTTAAAATGATAACTTCTTTTTTTTTTTTTTTTTGTTAGAGCTGGGGTTTGAACTTAGGGCTTCATGCTTGCTAGACAGGTGCTCTTATCACTTGAGCCACTCCGCCAGCCCTAAATGATAACATTTTTAAGATGACCTGCCCACGATTTGATCACAGTGGATCACCAACAGGGCCAAGGCCCTTATTGCTCTCTAGTCCTGTTCAAGGAGCTGCATCTTGCATCCAGAAACATGGATGGGTTCCCACAGTCAGGAGCCAGCCTGGGAGAAGCTGCTACTAATCCCCCCAAGGTTTGGGGTGGAGACCAATGTACTAGCCATCACTCAGAACTTCCTATTTTAATGAAGATATCTAACTCACAATTAAATAACAGTTGTTTCCCCTTTTGTTAGGAAATATTTCAAAGAAGCATGTAATGTCCTTGAGCCAGAAGAAAAGTTTAATATGGACAAATACACAGACCTGGTGACAGTCAGCAAGCCAGTCATTTATATTTCAATTGAGGAAATCATCAACACGCATTCGGTAAGTGGGTCTGAGGAGGGGTCCCAGCCATGTATCCATGGTTCAAACATCTGCTCACTTAAAATGCTTAGTCTCTACAGGCTTGCAGTATGCATGTGCCAGTGTTCATATTCTTAATCCTAAAGTGCCCTCCAGGATTTGTTCCCTAATTCTTAAATGTTAATAAAAACCCCTCCTCCCAAACAAGAAAGTTTGCTTTTGACACGATCCAGTTGCAATGCTAGTTTTAAGCCCTGAACAGGATCAAACCCTGGATTCTGCCTAGACTCACCTGTCTGCCCCTCTCGGGAGTGCTCTCAGCTTTCCCAGGCATTTTCTGGGAAGGTGAGAATGTTCTCCCTGCTCTGACATTTGGACACATTACAGATAATCTTAACCAAAAGGCAGAGAAGTGACACGATGTTTGGACGTGGAGAGAGAGGTGGAAAACAGGCTGCTGGAGGAAGATAAGAGAACACCACCAGCATCCTCCTGCAGAGGCGCATAGCCATTGTTCTGGAAACCCCCATTTCTTAGAAGCAGCAATTTCACAGTCAGTGCTGCGTCATAATGTCCCCATCTGGTTCTCATGCAAACTTCATCACTGTCAGCCATCAGCACTCCACCCTGGCTCTGGGAAGGAAGTAGGAGGCCTGAATGTCTCTGCAATCATTGAAAAAAAAGAGAAGTCAAACATTGTGTTGGGGGTGGGAGGGGGGAACTAACTGGAACTTATTTTTGGAATTAGATTTTTTTAAAAAGTAACATTTTCAAAAATAGTTTCAGACCTTGATAGTCAAAGCAAAGTCTTGGGAATCCACTAGAAATGAACCCGAGACCTTCAGATCCAAGCATAAATTCTAACAAGATCCCACAGTACTCAGATATACGTGAAAGTTCTAGATGCTTCAGTTAAGGATATATCCAGCTTTGAATTGTACTGACAAGGGGAAAGCGTAACAAACACACACCTCTCAAAAGTCAAACCTCTGCCTCCTCATACCAGATAGACTTTCTGGGGCAAGCTGGCTTACCCCAACTTGGCTTACAAGTTTGACCTGTGTTATTAAGCTCTTCTAAGAAATGAAAGCTTGAATGAGGTTTGAAGGAAAGATGAAATCTAGTTTTGATTTCTCTCTTGCAGACTTGGAGCAGGGAATTTCTCTGACATTTGCAACAAATTCTCAATCAGTTTAAGTATCGATTAAATGCCAGATCCCTTCTTTTCTCTGTAGGTAGGCATCCCAAATCACAAAGAAAATTGTCCAGCAGTGTACCATTGACAAAAATAATTTTCTAACAGTCAAGTAGGCGCATTCACATTTGGTTGACAAAACAGACAATGACCCCTTTGTCTATTTTTATGGTACATTAGCCACCTCAAACACACACGGACATCTTGTAATGTGTTTGCTCAGGGCAGTATCCTCAGGTAGTAGGAAGTTCTTTTTAGAATAAGAGATTCTTTCTCCTGGGTAACAGAGAAAATGTTACTGTGTCAATTTAGACTGCTAATATTTAGGGAGAATTAGTCTGCTCCTGTGTTAAAAAGAATTGAAAACAATGCAATTCTGGGAACCAGAGCATGGGACCAATTTGGAGTTCCTTCATGTGTTGTGTTGGGACAATGAGTGGTGGCAGAGAGTCCGTCCTGTTTACTGTCTAAGTGTGTAGGCGTCAGCATGCAGACACAACGCACCAGCAGTGTGACCTGCCAAGCCTGTGGTCCTGGCTGTCTGAGGAACATGTGGAACTTCAACATCACATGTTGAAGTTTAAGGAGCTATTTTCAGGAAATGTCTTATGTTCTGATATTAATAGAATGAAGAATAAAAGCTGGCCACCTAAAATACATTCTCTATTTCCAGAGTTAGCAGCCAGATCTGCTGGCCTGTCTCTAAGGAAAGCAAGAACATAAGTTTATCCGTCCTGCTGTTGTGTTCTTGTCTCTAACTTATCCTCTACCCAAATGCTGTATAACCACGCTTCCAGATTCCACCAAGCTTCTGTATCACCTCTGTTATGTAGTTCTTGAATCAATTTGCCTTTTGAAAAACAATACATATTTCTTTGCTTTAAAACAAAGAACCCCTACTACAGTGAAAAACTAGTATGTCTCCCATAAACAGAAACTTTAGAAGAAAATAAGTATAATGAACACAGAAGGAAGGACTGCCTTGCCTTCCAGCTGTATCTGAGGCTGTTCTTCCTCTATTAAAAACCCAATTAGCAAGTGTCCCGAAACTGTTAAGAAAATTTAGCATTAAACAGATGACTCTCCCTTTTACTAATCTTAAAGATTAAGAGAGTGGAAAGGAAAAGCAGTGTTAGACCGGCATTCAGACAGACATACAGATCAACTGGGATTGAGAGACCAGAAATAAACCGTGAAATTTATGGTCAATTCATTTTCAGTGAGGAGCTGACAGTTCAATTGAAAAAAAAAAAAAAAAAGTCTTTTAACAAGTGGTGTGAAATTCACATGCCAAAAGAATAAACTTGTGCCTTTTCTTCCCACACTATACAAAAAAGAAATAAATTCAAAATGAGTCATAGATCATAGACCTAAACTATAAAAGCTAAAACTATAGCATTCTTAGAATAAGACATACAAATAAATCTTTGTAGCCTTTATGTAGGCTGTGATTTCTTAAAGAGGACACCAAGTAGTAAAATAAATTGAATTTCATTGCAGCTCAAAACTTTTGTTATAAATAGTGCTATTCTGAAATTAAGGAGACAGCTGACAGACTGACAGAAAATAATTGCAAATGATATATCTAATAATGGAGTAGTATCCATAATATATAATCCCACAACTCTCATTGATAAAAAAGATAAAAAATCCAATTTAAAAATGAGCAACTGTACCAACTAAGAGAAAAGGCAACCTATAGCATAGGAGAAAATACTTGCAAATCATATATTAGGTAAAGGGTTAATATCTAGAATATATAGTGAACTTCTACAAGTCACAACAACCAATAAACTGATTGAAAAATGAATCAAGGCCTTGAACAGACATTTCATATACCAGTCGTCACCAAGCACATAAACAGGTATTCACCATCATAATGATTAAGAAAATCAGCAATCATAATGAAATATCATCTCATGCCCATTATATGACTGCCATTTGAGGAAAAAAAAAAAACCAAAGAAGAAGCATTAGCAAGGATGTGAAGAAATAGAACCCATGTATACAGTTGGTGGGAATTTAAAATGGTACAGCTGCTTTGGAAAATATGGACCACTCCTCGAAAATTAAAGGTAGAATTATCATCCAGCAATTCCTTCCCTTGAGGTACACTGAGCGAATACCATTGTTGAAGGGATATCGGGACACCCGTATTCATAGCAGCATTATTCATAATAACCAGGTGTCCCTCAATAGATGAATGAATAAAATGTGACATGTCAAGCCAGGTATTGTGGCACACATCACACAGGAGGATCGCCAGTTCCAGGCCAGCATGGTTCACACACCAAGTTCTAGGCCAGCCAACATAAGGAGATCCTATCTCAAAAGAGTAAAAATAAAAATGGTATGTCCATTAGATGTGTTACTTAGCCTTCATATGGAAGAAAAATCTGATTCATGGTACAACAAGAATAATTCTTTTAAGTAAAATAAGCCAGGGCCTGGAGACATAGCTCAAGCAATACAGTGACTGTCTAGTAAACACTAAGTGAAACAAGCCAGTCCCAAAAAGACAAACATTGTCTGTCTCTACTTACATGAAGTACCTCCAACCGTCAGTTTCATAGAGACAGAAAGTAGATCCAGAGGCTAGGAGGAGGGAAGGAATAGAGGGGAGGGGGTGATTGCTAATGGATGCAGTTTTTTTCAGGATGGTAAAATTGTTCTGAAATGAGCTAGTGGTGATAGCTGCACAACTCTGCAAATATGCTCAAAGCAGGCATCACACGTTTCAAATGAATGGATTTGATGGTGCATGAATTATATCTCAGCAAAGCTGTTAGAAAATGCTGCAAATGATAAAGGAACTAACTTCATTATGATGACTCAGAGTTTTATGAGGTAGTTACCCATAACAACTAAAATCTAACCTCCTGTCACCAGGGGTATCAGTAGTGTAGAAACATTGTTTCAATTTAATTAGAAATACAAACTGAAAGATCTGTTGTCCTCCCTAGCTTTCCCCTCCAGTGCTGCTGCTACTTAACAGTAACAATGTTTTTCCTAAGACCTGAAAAGATATTCCAGCCATTGTTACTCAGCTTTTAGGCTTTTTGGGCTCTGATCACCCATCACATCTAGGGCCCCAGCCAAGGGAATTTCTGCCATTCTTACCTATGAAAGATCTTCAATGCCAGGTGATAAAATAGCTAATAGTGATGACTTTTCCTTAAAAAAAAAAAAAAAAAAAAAAAACCTGTAATGTTTGATTATGCATAATTTGTCCCTAAAAGATGAAAACAACTTTCCTGTTTCTGTAAAGGTAGTATGTATAGAAGGCTGGCTCTTGGCCGATCTCACTAGATCTTGCTGTAAAGGGGATGCAAGCACCTTCCTTGCTAGTTTCTTTGCCTCTACTGCTTGAGCCACACCTCCAGCCCTTTTTGCTCTGGTTATTTTGAAGATAGGGTCTCACTTTTTTCCCCACCCAGCTTGGACCTCAGTCCTCCTATTTTATGCTTCCCCTGGTAGTTGGGATGACAGATATGCATCACCACACCCAGATGCTGCAGTTTCTTGATATAAATGTTTCCCCGTAAGATAAAATTAAAATTGTGCCTCTCTGTCATCTACACTTTTAATAAATGTCAGGCTTGTTTTTAAAGTTTGAACAATATCTGGAGAAAATGTTGAAAAATTAGAGCAGGAGGTATATAAAGCAGGTAGCAGCTGGGGCTGGAACTGACCTCTGCCTCTTTATGTGTCTTGCTCTTTGTATAAAGCTCTTACTGGAACATCAGGATGTGATTGCCGCTGAAAAAAGCGACTCCCTCAATGAGTTGCTGGAGTCCCTGGGGGAGGTGCCCACTGTGGAGTCCTTTCTTGGTAAGATACATACCTTTTCCTCCTTGCCTTTATTCATTTGGGTTCATTTTTTCATTTTCCTATCCTAGATCTTAGAAAAATTAGAATTTAATAATTATGCCTACTGAAAGGAAAATGACTACCTTTGCCCCTTCTTACACTAAGCATTCTGTAATCTGAGGCTGGAGTGTCACTCAGTGGAAGAGCACCTGCTTAGCATGTGCAAAGCCCTGGGTTCAATCCCCAGCACCTCTGCCCCAGTTCTGTAATTTATTGTGTTCTGGATTATAGAACAATTTGCTATTCATGAAGGGAAGTTCCAGATACATCAAAAAATATTTTGCAAAAGAAAGAAAACTTGAACGATCCAAACTTGATAGAAAATGATTAATTCTTCACTCAGTTTTCTAAGGATTTCTTATATTACTAGTTCTCTCTTTCAGTTACTTGTTCATATTTTGAATTTCCATATCCCAGATTATTTTCAGGTTTCAATCAATATTTTCAAATCTACTTCGAGGTGGTAGAACATGGGTTCTCAAGGACCATGGTCTCTCCTGTATGTGATGATTAAGCCTGTCTTCCCCCAAAACCTTATCTGTTGTTGATGACATCACCACAGGAGTGAGCTGGAAGAATAACACTGTTGATTTTCCTACAGGGGAAGGAGCTGTTGACCCCAATGACCCTAACAAGGAAAATACACTAAATCAACTCTCAAAGACAGAGATTTCCCTTTACTTGACAAGCAAATATGACATAGGGGACGGCGAAGCTGTGGATGGCCGAAGCCTCATGATAAAGTAAGTTTGGGGCTTCAAGGGTGTTTGTGTCTAGTTACATCTCCTGAACTGTGGAAATTCAAGCAAGGCTAAAGCCCAGATAATTCCTTTAAAAGTAGGTGAATATAGAACTGCACTGTGTTTATCAAACCAAAGGGTAATAGATGCATCATAACTTAAGCGATAACTCAGTATTAATACAATCTACAAAGTTTACCTTGGTTTTTCCATGTATATTTTGATTCCTTTCCTATAAAAAATGAGGTGATTGACTTGGGGAATGTCTTTTTCAGAATGGTTGAAAGATTAGCCCTTTAACCAATTTTACTTCCAGTATAAAGTGATAAAGGCACACATGTGAAAAGACAGCACCATCTGATTTATTGCCTTCTGTCCTATTAAACTAATCCAAGATTTGTTTATACCCTACTTCCTGCCTCCAAAGATTTCAAATGAAGCAGTCACACTTTGAATTACTAATATTGTTTCTATTGACATATTCGTGTGTATGCCAATTCAGTCTTCTATACACAGAGAATGAGATTCATGATCCAGCACCATAAATGAAAACACCACAAATCAAAGACACGTGCTCATCAAACAATGCAGTTTTCAAGAACTTGTATCATGAAAGAGTGGCATTTCAGCACAGTAGAACAGTTGTATATTGGGGTAAGGTGGAGACTGAAAGAGGAAATGGGGACCAATTGTAATACATATGCATCGAAACAGTATTTCACACACTTCTTCCAGGATGCTGAGGTTGTTTCTGTTTGTGATAAGAGTGTTCAGTGTGATAAGAGTGTTCAGTCCTGCCACCTGTCAAACAGCAATGGTCCCCACTTGACTTTTACCAGATCTATGCTTCTCATGTAAATGCTGAAAAACTTTCTTGGTGTGCTGTGCTGTGATGTATGCTTCTTCTGTGAGGCTTGTTTACTTTGTCCTCAGCTCATCTAAGATCCTCTTGTTCATTTGAGAACCTACTGTGTGTTCAGGCTCTGGGCTTGAGGCTGGAGACCTAGTAGTGAGCTGACCAGTGCAGCCTGTCTTCCAGGGCTTAAAGTCTGAAGTTTAGCAGTGGAGAGCACAGCTCAGCCCCAGGGCAGAGGCCTCGCTGCAAGACAAGGTCACATCCTTGGCCCCACAAGGCTGCGAGCAGTTCTCTTCAACCACTGGTTCCCAAAACACACCGCACTTTGGGAAGGCAGGCCAGAGCAGAGAGAGAAGACATCCTCCCTGACTTCCTCTGAGTAGGGCTAATTAAAAGGGACCAAGAAACACAGATTGGGTGGTTCTGCCATGCAAATGAAATTAGGCCACGTCTCCCAAGATCTCATAGGCAGGGTCCTTACAAGTAATGGGAAGAAATTGTCTCTTAATTGGTTTTGTCTGTTTGAATACCACTTTCTAAAAGCAGTCAACTCAAATGTCTCACACCTGTAATCCTAGCTACTTGGGAGGCTGAGATTGGGAGGATCAAGTTTCAAGGCCAACCTAGACGAATAGATCACAAGACCCCATCTTTAAAATAATCAGAGCAAAAAAGGCCAGGGATGTGACTCAAGTGGTAGAGCACCTGCTTTGCAAATGTAAACTGAGTCCACACCCAGTCCCACTAAAAATAGAACTTTCTTCTTTTCTTATGATTGACTAACCTTTCATTGTATGCCACATATTATTTATCTTTTAAGCATTTGATGGATATTTTTTGGTTGTTTTTACCTCTTGGCTGTTGAGAATAGTGCTGCTCTGCATATCCATGTGCAAGTTTTTGCTTGAACATGTATGGAGTGGAGATGTGACTCATGTGGTAGAGCACCTGCCTAGCAAGCATGAGGTTCTGAGTTCAAACCCCAGTACTGCCACACACACACACACACACACAAAATATCAAACAAAGTAAACTTAGTCACTGTCAGTATTAAATAAAAATGGGTAAAGGATTTGAATAGCCATTTCTACAAAGAAGATATAAAAAGGTCAACAAGCTTATGTAAAGATGCTCAGCATCCCTAATGAATAGGGAATTCCAAATTAAAACCACAATGAAGTATTCCTTCATTGTGTATACCCACTGGGATGGCTATTACTAAAAAAAGAAGAAGAAGAAAGGAAAATTGTTACTTTTTTTCTGTTGTTCCTTGGTAGAAAGATAAATATACTGGATATTTAGTCTTATCAGATCTATGATTTGCAAATATTTTTGCCTCTTCTGTGGATTGTTTTCATCCTTGTATGGTTAATTTTGTGGGAAAAAGAAAACCCACAGAAGGTATAAAATTATTTGCTATAATTCTTATTCTTCATTATACATACATCTGTACAGAAAGAGAGGTAGAATGAGTAACGTGTATACACTACGTATATTACATGTATACACATTACACCAACCCACATGCATGGAAATGTACTTCACAGAGGATGACACAAGGCACAAAACAGATGGAAATCTTTCTCTGGGTGATACAGCTAGTAATTGGAACAGAGATTCAAAGCCAGATGCTCTCAAGTTCTGCAGAGCCTGTGTCCTTAATCACAAAGTTTCGCAATCCTCCAGGGCAAGGTCAGTATTCTTTGCCCTCTTAGGAATCCTAGGATAAAGAACGAGAATTCCAGCAGAGCAGTGACTGCACAGCTGATGTTGGTGCATCCTTCTGGACCAAAGGCAAGTGACTGAGACCTGAGGGACACAAAGAGCACATATTGTAGTAGGAGGAGACGTTTTCTCTTTCTTTTCTGAATGTTTATGGCACATAGAAACTCAGTCTGAGCTATTGCCATTTTCCCAATTCTATCAAGTGTGATGGTGTTAAATTTAAAAAAACAAAAAACAAAAAACCCTGGTAGAGAAGTCCTAGGATGACGTAGGATTACATCCTCCATGTATCACTTGTCAGTTATCAAACAGCATGTTGTCCACTCAGCAGTATTCTCATTCATAACACAGAGAAGCAGGGGAGGGCTCGAACCAGCCCACAAAACCATGCATTGACACCTTGTAAATTGTAAAGGACTATACTGTTGTAAATCCCTTATTATAATTTATGACTCATCTTAAAAATATGCAACCCTGATGGCCTTTAATTAAGCTAGCTTTTCCACAAAAGTATTTGTGTTTAAATAGAAGGCAGTATTTGTGGTTTTTAATCATACTTAGCTGCTCAAGCGCTTAACTTGTCATCTCTTAGGAATTCTCCTTTCATGTGGCTCAATGTAGACAGACATTATCCCACCAGAAAGATTGACCAGCTTTTTGTTCAAACTGGGAGGAACTCTGCATGCATAAAGTGACATCTGAAGTCTGGTGCTAAGAAATATATAATGGTATAATTAGAATTTTAAACAACAAATATACCTGAGCTTTCACAAATACTGATACCTTTCAACCTTGGGCACAATGTAAGGCAGGTGACAGACAGAAGTCTCCAAACACTACCGGTCAGAGTATGATAATAGGCACCATGAGTGCAGTGGCCAAGCCCAAGGGCCCCACCAGCTTCCAAGTGCTATGTGGCCTCATTTACCAGCAGAATATAAGCACAATCTGATGAACAAAGCCCCTAGTATGTTTCATTTTCCTTAATTCTTTCCCATAGTTAGATTCCACCTCACTCAGGGACGGCAGGTCCTTGGTTCAGATCAGCCTGTCTTTCAGTGTTAGAACAGTCATGCAGCCGACTCTCCCACCGGTTGATTTGTGCTGGTCAGATATATCATGGATGTTGTGTTTGGGGTGAGGAGGTGGGCACATTGGCCACTAAAATGTGAGCCGCACTGTGAACTCTGCACATCCTATTTTGGGGAGTTTAAGGACCTCTAGGGCTTCACTTGGAAAAAAAGAAAGGTGCCAGAAGAGGGGAGTAGGTGGTTAAGGGTGTAACTCAGGAGAAAGCACGTACATGCTGAAGCCCTGAGTTTTGAGCCCCAGCACCAAAAATAAAAGATGGGTGGTGGTGACAGATAGGAGTACACAGCCGCAGCCCCTCACCAGAGGTTTGTGGTGGGCTGCTGATGTGGAGAGGGAACTTGCCTGTGTTCTCCATGCTAGACTGTAGTATGAGGATTTGTCTACATGTTAAACCTCTCAGTAGCATCAGTCAGTTGTGTCCCAGAGGTCCCCCGGATGTGAAAGTCCTGTGACTAACCATTGCAGTAGGCTTCTTAGACTGCTGGCTTCCTGTTGAAGAATGGAATGTTCCAGTGCTGCTCTTTCCAAAAGAAATCTAATGTGAGCCACACATGTAATTTTAAATCTCTAAACAGCATTTTAAAAAGAAACAGATGACACTTTTTAATTATTCTAGTGAGATTTAACTTATGGATTTGTTAATTGGCACATGATAATTGTACATATTAGCATACATGAGTACAGAATGGCATTTCACTACAATGTCTAATGATCAGAATAGGAGAATTGGCATATCCATCACCTCACACATACGTCATTTCTTTAGCTTGAAAGTTGAAATGGTTTCTATTAGTACATTTTATTTTACTCAATATATCAAAAATATTTTCATTTCCATAGGTGATCGATGTTAAAAAAAAAAGAAAGAAAGAGAGCATCATTGTTAGTGAAATCTTGTACACTCTTTATTCCCTGCTGAAGGCTTACGCTCTGCAGTATATCCTGCACTCACAGCACATCCCAGTGGGGGCTGGGCAGGTTTCAAGTGCTCAGTTGCCATCTGTGGCCAGTGACTACCGTGTTAGACACGTGGAAAGCACAGCTTTCATGACCGTGAGACCCTAGTGGAAAAGGCTTTACATGGCATCTTTTTGTTCAGTCCTATGCCAGTTTGCTGAGAGACTTAAAAACCTACATGGATTATCTGATTTGCACAGGTCCATAATAACTAACAGGAGCCCAGATGTGCCCTTAGATCTGTCAGGCCCTAGGCACTCCAGGAGGAATTGAATTCCCTGTCCTAGAGTGGATGGTTACTTGGATATAGGATGTCTGGAGCAGATCTTTGGCAGTGAATTCCACAGGCCTGACGTAAAGTAGAATTCCAAGAGAAAAGGGTTATCCAGGCAATTTGTGCTTCAACAACTCCTAGCAAATAAACAATTCTTTAGTTATGTAAAGCCTTTATTTTTGACTCAGTGTTTCTAATTCCATATGATGATGTTTGGAAGAGGAAGATGGATATAGAGGAAGGGACACAGGGCCTCCTAACCCATGGCTGCCTCTGGATCAGTGCCATCTCACACGTGGCTATAATTAGCCATGTACCCCCCTTTGACTCCCTGGAGTCTTTAGATATGCATTCCCAGACAGCCTGAAAATCCCCAGCAGCCATGGGTCACAGGGCCAGAGGAAATGGTTCTCCAGAGGCCAGAGAGAAGGGAAGAAGGGAAGTTGCATTATAATCACTCTTCTCCTACGGTCTTGTGAAACATAGGAAAGGAGAAAAATTGTGTTTATAGGGGATTTATTGAATTTTATCTGATTTTCAAAAATCTTCTATTTGAGGCTGGTGGAGTGGCTGAAATGGTGGCGCACCTGCCTAACAAGTATGAAGCCCTGAGTTCAAACCCCTATACCACAAAAAAAAAAAAAAAAAAAAAATCTGTTTTTTCTTCTGTTTTTCTATTAAGCTGAGGATTCATTCGGGAGCAGTTACCCTATGCTTCAAAATGTGAAAGCTATATATTCATTTCCAGTTTTCATGTGTCTGAATATTGGCTGCTGTTTCTTAGGAAGAATTCTCTTCTTTGACAGAGCTGAAATGAAATACAGTAATAGGGGTACAATAAACATGAAACTTCAAACCTGACCCGTCTGTAGTTTGGGTCAACTTCTGTTTGTTTCCTTCTTTTGGAAGAAAGGCTGTTTCTAACAATACAGTTCCACCCTATGTAAGAGTGAGCAAACTCAGCCATCTGCCTTTCATGTTAAAATCACTTTTCTAGCCAGGCTCTGGAGGCTCAAGCCTGTTATCCTAGCTACTTGGGAGGCAGGGATTAGGAGCATCATGGTTTGAAGCCAGCCCAGGCAAATAGTTTGCAAGACCCTATTTTGAAAAACCCATCACAAAAAAAAGGGCCTCTGGAGTGGTTCAAATGGTAGAATGCCTGCCTTGCAAGTGTGAGGTCCTGAAATCAAACCCCAGTACTGCAAAAAAAAAAAAAAAAAAAAATCACTTTATTCTGTGTGTGTGTGTGTGTGTGTGTGTGTGTGTGTGTGTGTGTTACTAGAGTTTGAACTCAGGGCTTCACACTTGCTGAGGTGCTGTTCCACCTGAACCACACCCTCAGTAAAATCTTTTTACATAATCACATAACCTGACCCCTAATTAAGGAGAGAACAGCCAGTTGCCATAAGGAATTCATGAAGGAGTGTATGGTTTTAGCACTTCCCATTGGGTTTCCAGCTTTGAACTTCTACAGAGCAGCTCTGCTCTTCCCTTGCACCTAAAGTCAATGACCCAGCCTTATCTTCTAGTTCCTAAGGTCCTTGAACATCCAGCCTCCTTGCTGCTGTGTAAGCCAGCAATCCAGGCTTTCAAGGTCATGCTGGGCTTCTGTGCCCACTAGTCTTCAAACCATTTCATAATGCAGCAGGAAAGGTCACAGTTAGTCTGGCTCCTAAAGGCTTATGCTGTATTAACAGTCTCAGAAGTTTAAATGCTACTCAAATCAGGAAAGAGAGATATTTGTTATCATTCCAGTACCTTCTATAGTAGTTGGCCATATTGGCAGACTTAGCCTGGGTATCCTGAGAAGATTGTCTCAGTCTAAAAGTATTTAGATAAGGAATCTAATGATGCGTTTGTGCCCCTGTTACTGACAGAGTAATTCTACATCAAGACTTACTATCAAATATTCACAAACTTTCAGGAGCCTTCAAGCAGACCTGCTGAATTTCTGCAAGAATGTTTAATTTTAAGGGATTATCTTTGAAGCTTCCCTTTGGGATATATGTTTGTGCGTTCACATGAGAGAAGCAGATTTTTGTACATTAAGACTGCTATCTGAAATGCTCTCTCCCCTTTTTCTTCTTTGTAAGGACCAAGAAGCTGATAATTGATGTGATCCGGAACCAGCCAGGGAACATGTTGACTGAAATCTTAGAGACACCAGCAACTGAACAGCAGGTAATTTGTCTTTACGTATAATATAAACAGTATAACAGACAGGTGTCGATTTTCTTAATAAATCTTCATGCCAAATGTTTTGGGAGAAGCTGTGTCTCACACTGTCTGGGAGTAAGGAATTGTACCTCTTATTGTAGACGAATAAGCTCAGCCATATTTAAAATCCATGTGGTGTATCAGGAGAATGAAACAAAAAATTCAGCCTGGAGCTCATGCCAAGTGTGATTTTTCCATAATATGAAGATAGCTCTGAGTCCTTCAGAGCTATCATTGTAAGCCTTACCATACAGTAGGTAGCTGGATGTGTTCATTAAAAGATCATTCTGGTTCACAGGGTATAGAAAAAGGCCTTTCATATTTTATGTATTTGCTACTATAAAGAAATGAAAAAGTGTCACACACATTAAAGTTGTTTTCCTGGAGGATCACAGTCTAAGGCTAGCCCAGGCCAAAGTTTTCAAGACCCCATCTCAACCAATAAAAACTGGGCATGGTGGCACATACCCATCATTCCAGCAATGACAGGAAGTGTAAATAGGAAGATTGCAGTCCAGGCCAGTCTCACATATCTCACAGCCGATATGTGAGAGTTGAGTTGGCTTCTGAACATGCAAGATTGTCATAGCCACTTTTTTTTTTTTGGTGGTACTCGGGTTTGAACTCAGTTGCCTCATGCTTGCTAGGCAGGCGCTTTGCCACTTCAGCCACTCCACCAGCCCTGTTTTGTGTTGGGTTTTTTTTTGAGATAGGATCTCTCAAACCATTTGCCAGGGGCTGGCTTCATACCTCATTAGTAGTTGGGATTGCAGGCGTGAGCCACCAGGGCCCAGATTCATAGCTGCCTTTTGATAGATTATCTAATTTAAATTTTCTCAGTTGGGCTGCCCAGGAATTGAAATCCTTCCATCCAGGGAACTACAAAATAACAATTAATTCATTAAAACATGTCCACCCTCAGGTGATTTGTCACTGTGGCAATAAAGGAGCTTAGAATTTTGACCTGTCATCACTACCGCATTACTCAAAAAAGAGGAAGTACTTCCTCCCAAAGGTGTACTTCAAAACCATGAGTGAGGAACATGTTGTAGCATTGGTCTGGGGACTTTGGCTTGCAGACTTCTTTCTTTTGATATTAACTTGCCCTGTCTAGCTCCTGTTAAATTATGCAGTCATGGGATTAGAGAAATACCATCAACGTGATACTCTCTTTTCAGGAGCTAGATCACTCCAAAGACATGGTGAGCCGTGCACTGATAGATTCCAGGACTCCCGAGGAAGTGAAGCAGGGACAACCAATGATGGAAGATGCACATCTGCCTCTGGAGCAGAAGAAGAGGAAAATCCAGAGGAATCTTCGGACACTGGAGCAGACAGGACACGTATCATCCAAAAATAAATACCAAGACATTCTCAATGAGATCACTAAGGTTTCTGCACACAGTACTCTTTCTTCTTTACTTAGTAGACATTATCTAGCATAATATGGGATGCCCTGTGAGGTGACATGAAGGATTCACAGTTGCATTTGCTATGGTTCCTGCTTCTCAATATTACAGATTTTGAAAGACTTCGAAGCAATTGATGACTTTTATAGCGAAAAACCACAAAAATTCCCCCACATCGCCAGGAGAGTGGAAACTCACCCAGAACAAATGCTCAAGAGATGGAGTAGACAAACTAGGTCTATACCCTTAAGCCATACCAACTCGGTTTTTTTGTTTTGTTTAGTTTTGGTGGCACTAGAATTTGAACTCAGGGCTTTGTGCTTGCTAGAAAGGTGCTCTACCTCTTGAGCCACACCTCCAGTCCCCCTACTCATTTTGGGGAGAGTTTTCTCATCCTTGTTAGCTGTCATATAGCCCAGTTGCTCATAGGACCTGCCATTAAGATGGTAACTACGTCCCCGTGGATTCATTTCTAAACACTTCACCTAAATTCAATTAAGGCTCAGTTTCATTTCTGTTTCCTCATCTCCTGTTCTTACACTTGAGACATTTCCTAAGAAAAGGATCTCATCTTGGTGCAAGGAAATATCACAGGAGTGGCTGAGATCTGTTTGTCAAGGACACGGAAGTATATATTTGGATGAAAAAGCACATTTCATTCTTTTGATCCAAGCAACAAATTAACATGGGTCTAGAGGTTAAAAGCAATCAAATGATCAGGAAAAACAAAACAAAACAAAGCAGTTTTTTCACTTCCTGGGAAGAAATGCAGTTTCATTCTTCAAGGGAATTTATGGTAAATTCTGGTTGTAAACTGATTCTTCCCAGCCTGAGTGACACAAGGAAAATAGCATTTCTTTCTATAACTTTCAGATGGAAAGTATTTCTCTTTGGGAATGTGGGGTAGAGAAATCAGTGCTTTTGCTTCAAACAAAGTAAAAGGCTATCGTGAGGCAATTCTTCTACTTAATAAGGAATTTTTACTTATGAAGGGGTTTGTCTCTTTGAATTCCTGGGAGAACGGGTTTTAATTTGCTCACAAAAGAAAGTATCATTAAACAGGCGCCAGTTTCTTAAATGAAACATTTTCATAACTTATCAAATAGAATTTAAAAAAAAACATATCTGCAAGTTTAAATTTAGCACAATTCTTATAAGTGATAAGTAGCTCACTCAGCCTTGTGTTCTAGGAATTCTATTTCAACCCACATGTGGTCATCTCTTAGTGTCAGTTCTAGAACTTCCTACTGATAACCAAAAATCTAGGGGTGCTCAAGTCCCTTCTATGAAATGGCACAGGATTTGCATAGAACCTATGCTCTTTGTTTTGCCAGAGTTGGGGTCTATTATTGCCCAGGCTGGTGTTGAACTCCTGGTATCAAGCGATCCTCCTTGATCCTAAGTGGCTGGAACCACAGGTGTCTGCCACCATTACCACCTCTCCCATACACTTTAAATCATCTCTGGATTACTTAAAATACCAAATATTATGTAAAAATGTGTTATACCATGTTTCTTAGAGACTAATAACAAGAAGATCTGTGTGTTTTCAATACAGATAGGTTTTTGTCCTGAGTATTTGAATGCACACTTGATTGAATCCACAGATGTAGAGCACACAGAACTGGAAGACTGACTAATTGTTACGATGCTGAATTTTTTCAGTCTTGAGAGCCTGGTTATTTTTACAAACCTCAAGAAATGTTTACCAGATAAAAGTTTTTACTTCTTACTAAAATGAAATCAACAAGTAAAAATAAACCTTTTTTGTTTAAAGTATTCTTCAAAAAGGAAAAGTTGCTAGTAGCCTGAAGAAATTGCATCTCCTCCCCATGTCGTCTTTGTGTCCCAAGATCATTTTCCCTTAAACTAATTGTTTGGTTATTCTAAAATTAGTTCTGCTGTCAGAAAAACAAACCTTAGCAAGACTCTTAAAGTAAAATATGGGTGCTTTTCAGTTCTTAAGTAAAAAGAGATGAGAATGCTTTGCTGTTAAGATAATACCTCAAAGTGCCTGAGATAAACTTCAGGTTAACAGCCACAAAGAGTGACTTATTACTTGCTTCTCTTGTCTTAAATTGGCAATCCATAAGGCGAGCTTTTGCTTGTACCTTATGTTAGTCTTTACTTGCTGTTCTAGGATATCCGAAATCAAAGAATCCATCGCAAGCTTCGGAAAGCGGAACTGGCAAGACTTCAGCAGACTCTGAACGCCCTTAATGAGAAGGCAGCCTTTTATGAAGAGCAAATTAATTATTATGACACCTATATAAAAACTTGTTTAGACAACCTGAAAAGGAAGTAAGTTAAATTCCTGCTGTGATCTATATGGGAGACTATGATCCTGGTTGGATGGATTGGATTGGGTTGGGTTTAGAAGCAAATTTTTTCCTCTATTTTGTAACCAAAAACTAGAAGCTCAGTTTTATTCTTGGCCACAGTGACCCAAGAAGTCAGGAACAAACTTAGCCTTAGAATTAAAGTAGCTTACTCTGTTATATAGTAAGCAAATGGCATTAACATTTGGGGAAGCACTTTCATTATTGCTTTTGTCTTTTTTAGTCAAACACCATAATAAAAATACATGGCTCAAGTGGTAGAGTGCTTGCCTAGCAAGTGCAAGGCCCTGAGTTCAAATCCCAGTACTGCCAAAAGTAAATAAATAAATACACAAATTTTAATACATTAAATATTCATGTGTGTGTATATGTTATGTGTGTATATATATTACTTTTGTTTTTGGACTGTCTGCACAGGATTTCGTGTACTTGACAGTATTAGATAACACCATGTATTTGTAAATTGTGCAGAACAACACAATGATGTAAAATTGTTCAGCAGTGGTTTGAACAAATCATTATTGACACAACAGGCAAAATTTGGCTTTTACCCATTAGCATACCTATTATAGATTTTTATGCATAATACAGTGACTTTTAATGAATGTCCTTTGCTCATTATTTTTAGCGGTAGACTAGGGTCAATGCTAATCAATTTTTAATGACCTGTATTTAAATATGTAAGACAATATTTTCATGGGATCCTAGTCATCAAATTGGCAGTAGGAAGTGAAGCAGCACAGAAAACCAACTACATTACTCATAGAAGACTTGATAAAGGGAAATAACCGAATGTAGCCCTCATTTATTTGCATGCTGCTCATTTTGCACTTTAATTCATTTGCTTGGGTGTTGCTTACATTTATTTACTATACCTGGGAAGAAGTTGGCAAACTTGTTTCCAATAATAGTGCTTGTTAGGGATTTGCTTGGCATGGTTGTTGTGGTGGCTTTCAGGCATTTTGCACTAACTCTGCAGTCAGGCAGCCTGGATGTGTGGGTTACAATTCTGTCTTACATTGTATGATCTTTTTTTTTTTTTTTTTTTTTTTGATGACTATGTCTTTTTTTTTTTTTTTCATTTTTCTTTTATTATTCATATGTGCATACAAGGCTTGGTTTATTTCTCCCCCCTGCCCCCACCCCCTCCCTTACCACCCACTCCACCCCCTCCCGCTCCCCCCCTCAATACCCAGCAGAAACTATTTTGCCCTTATCTCTAATTTTGTTGTAGAGAGAGTATAAGCAATAATAGGAAGGAACAAGGGGTTTTGCTGGTTGAGATAAGGATAGCTATACAGGGCATTGACTCACATTGATTTCCTGTGCGTGGGTGTTACCTTCTAGGTTAATTCTTTTTAATCTAACCTTTTCTCTAGTTCCTGGTCCCCTTTTCCTATTGGCCTCAGTTGCTTTAAGGTATCTGCTTTAGTTTCTCTGCATTAAGGGCAACAAATGCTAGCTAGTTTTTTAGGTGTCTTACCTATCCTCACCCCTCCCTTGTGTGCTCTTGCTTTTATCATGTGCTCATAGTCCAATCCCCTTGTTGTGTTTGCCCTTGATCTAATGTCCACATATGAGGGAGAACATACGATTTTTGGTCTTTTGAGCCAGGCTAACCTCACTCAGAATGATGTTCTCCAATTCCATCCATTTACCAGCGAATGATAACATTTCGTTCTTCTTCATGGCTGCATAAAATTCCATTGTGTATAGATACCACATTTTCTTAATCCATTCGTCAGTGCTGGGGCATCTTGGCTGTTTCCATAACTTGGCTATTGTGAATAGTGCCGCAATAAACATGGATGTGCAGGTGCCTCTGGAGTAACAGTCTTTTGGGTATATCCCCAAGAGTGGTATTGCTGGATCAAATGGTAGATTGATGTCCAGCTTTTTAAGTAGCCTCCAAATTTTTTTCCAGAGTGGTTGTACTAGTCTACATTCCCACCAACAGTGTAAGAGGGTTCCTTTTTCCCCGCATCCTCGCCAACACCTGTTGTTGGTGGTGTTGCTGATGATGGCTATTCTAACAGGGGTGAGGTGGAATCTTAGTGTGGTTTTAATACATTGTATGATCTTGAATCAGTCCAGTGAACTCAGCCTCAGTTTTCTTATCTTTAAGATGGGTTAGGAGTACCAGTTTTGCAAGTACTGTTATGAAACTACATGAAATAATACATGGCAAAGGAATTTTATTTCAAAGCACTATAGAAATCTAGGGCTTTGTAATTTTGTAAATGCAAAATTAGCACCTAGAACAGAACCCAGCCACATAGTGCCTGTTAAATAAGTTACAGCAATCTTAGGAATACCCTCACTTAGGAATACAAAGTTCATGTAAGTCCCCCAAAGTGATCTATGAAATGACTTAAAATATAGTCAGTTAGTTCAATATGCCTGAGAACATGGTATAAGTATTATTAAAAATATTAGTCTGTAACACAGACTTCTCTCACTTGGGAAATCCCTTTCCCAAAACAGTTCAGTAGTGAGGTTTTACTGCATGTTACCTTCTATGATGAGGCAAAAAGGCACACATTCACACGGGGCAATGTGTGTGAACTGTGGTATCACCCTGCACAGGACTGTGGTGCTACCAGAAACATCGTGGTAACAGATGATCTGTTCTTATTTTATCAGAAATACTCGGAGATCAATTAAACTAGATGGAAAAGCAGAACCCAAAGGCACGAAGAGAGCAAAGCCAGTGAGATACACTGCTGCAAAGCTGCATGAGAAAGGTGTCTTGCTAGGGATAGATGACCTTCAAACGAACCAGTAAGTGTGGCCTGCAATTTGCATAGAGCATACATACCATCCACTCACACAAATTCTGACTTAGGGCCAGGTGTGCTGGTGCATGCCTGTAATTCCAGCTAAGCAGGAAGTATAGATGGGAGGACTGCAGTTTGAAGCCAGACCCAGGCAAAAACATGAGACCCTATACAGAAAAATAACTAAGGCAAAAAGCTCAAGTGGTAGAGAGTCTGTTTAGCAAGTAAGAGGCCTTGAGTTCAAACCCCAGTGCCACAAGCAAAGCAAAAACTCAGCATTTCTTTGGGTGCCTTGACCTTGGACAGAGCTTTTCTTCATCTCTCCAACTTTCCCTTGATCAGAGGACAAGAGGGGTATTCTTGTCCCTAGTCTATCCCCCAGGCCATCAGCACATGTTGCTGTCCATGCCCTGTGAAGCCTGGATCAAGAGGTTCCCTTTGTTCTCAAGCCTCCCCTGGTGTCTTTGAATGAGCTGAGTCACAGGAATGAAAATGCAAGGGTGTCTTTGATCTTGATAGATGAGTTGTCTACACTTGTAAAACAGAGTCTTCTAACTTCAAAGCCACAGACCATGCCAACTCCCGAGTCAGAGCTACCTCCCATAGCAAGGGTGGGAATCCAAAGTGGAAAAGGAAATAGCCCCCATCCAGCACATGTGTTGCTTCCTTTGCACCTTTCACTCCCTGCCCTATGTCTCGAAGGAAGTCAGCCCGCTGGCATTGGCTACTTCTTTAATTCCCACCTCCCCCGGAGGCATGCCTGGCTTCTGTTCCACTGAGCCCGTAACCTGACTACACAAACTTAGAGAAAGGGCTTCTTCCTCTTTTGAAGTTTCTATAAAAATTACCATCTAGCCAGGCACCAGTGGCTCATGCCTGTAATCCTAGTAACTCAGGAGGCAGAGATCAGGAGGATCATAATTTGAAGCCAGCCTAGGCAAATAGTTCATGAGACCATTTCTCGAAAATACCTGTCACAAAACAGGGCTGGTGGAGTGGCTCACACTTACCTAAGCAAGTGTGAGCCCTGAGTTCAAACCCCAGTACTACCAAAAAAAAAAAAAAAAAACACCCAAAATTATCATCTGGAATACTCTGTTGCCCACTATTGTTTGTACTCCTCAAGAGCAAAGACCTTCTTCTATGTCTTTTGTAATAAAGCACCTACTTGGTGTTCTGTGAGCCACAGATCTCAACAATAGCCTGCATACCTAGTGTGTGAGAAGCAGAGTGAGGAAAAGATGATGAGGTGTTTGGTGACTTCCTTAGGATTTTTACAACTGGCTGTTCACTAAGGTAAATTGGGATTCTGTTAGCTTTTTCCTCTTTAAAGGTGTATTTGTAATTTTACATGTGTGAATGTTCTTCACCAGGTTTAAAAATGTTACATTCGACATCATGGCGACTGAAGATGTGGGCATCTTTGATGTCAGATCAAAATTCCTGGGTGTGGAGATGGAAAAAGTACAGCTCAATATTCAGGTCAGCTGGGATTTCTACAGATGGGGGAGGGTTTTAGCTGAGGGTCTTTGTGATCCGGAGCCTCACCATTCATGGCAGCAATGAAGTTTGCAGCCCCCTGTGTAAGCCTTAGTTGCCGATGTTGATGATTATTTAAAAGCTTCAGATTTTTTCACATTGTTGGAACTTGGGATGCTTGTACATAGTTAACCATAACGGTTGGGTTTTTTGGTGGTAGTGATGGGTTTTGTTTTGTTTTTGTTTTTGTTGTGGCAGTATTGGGGTTTGAACTCAGTTCCTTGGACTTGCCGAGTAGGTTCTCTACCACTTGAGCCACACCTCCAGTCCAACAGTTGGTTTTTCTAAGCCATGTTCCTATTTTGAGTTTAGACAAAAGAATTTGATATAAAAGTATGATAGTCATTATATATATAAAGGCTGAAAAGTGTCATTTTTTTTAGGGAGTTGAATATCTTTCTAAGACTGTGTTTACCCCAAACTTTTCTGACCCCATTTTCTTTCTTTTCATTCTTGCATCCATTTCTTAAATCTATTTGTTAAAAGTTTCGTATCACAAGAATGGAAGACATTATCCAAAACACATCCCTACCTATAGGTAGAAGGTGGTGTTTGTAATATGCATTTATCACTCTTTTCTCATTTAAAACACAGTTGAGCCAAAATACACTTGAACAGAAACTGAGAAATCAAGTTTATTTGAAAAAAAAGAAAGTCAGAGGGAAATTGTGCAACAAAATGCTTATCTTCTCCTGATGCCTTCAGCCTTAGCACAGATCAGCTAAGGAATTAATGGAGTTTTTCTTTTTTAATATAACACTTTTTAAGTAAGATCTATTGCCCAGGCCTTGACACCTGCAGGTCCTCTGCCCGTGTCTGCATGAATCATCTTGCTGAGCCTCCAGGACTGATGTAAGATCCGGCTACACTGCCAGCTCAGTCCGTGGCTCAATGCCCTGAAATTACCACCCCCTCATGGGAGCAGATGCCAAAGCCCTTCTCTTCTGTCTAGCAGCCCTTGGAAGCTTAAAAAGAAAAATGAGATTTAAATGGGTTTGATAAGAACACTGAGATAGGGAGGAAATTAAAGTTTAGAGAGAAAAATGAAAGAGGAGATGCAATTATGAAAAGTACACTTTAGTAAATGGTGTTTTCTAACTTATTTTAAACGTCACTGACTGTGTTCATTTGGGGATTAGTTCATGACAGTCTTCAGCTCCTTTATGCAACATTTGGAGAAATATGGAAAAGAAGACAGTATGCTTGTGATATACCACTGTTAACGATTGTTCCTATAGAAATGACAGGGACACACATGGGTGCCAAGAAGGAAATGACCCAAGGTCAGCCAACACCAACTGGGCCACCAAGTCGCAGGTGCAGAGGAAGCACCTTATCAGTGCTTACAGAGACTTCAGGAATTCCATGGGACTTCCTCTAAGTACTGGTACAAAACCCAAGCTGTAATTGTTCCTTTGTTAAGAACTCAGAATACAGTAGGAGTCGCTCTTCACAGGACTTTTGTTTCTACACATAAGTGATAGTGAAATGTTACTCCTTATCTGTATGCAGGTGACCAATATTAACACATAATCAGATCTAGCTACATAATTTGCAGAGAAAGACAAACTAAAAATGCAGGGCCCCTGGTTCCAAATTAGGAAAGATTTAGGATGACATCAGCATGAAACCTTGCAAGTTGCAGAGCCTTGATCGTGCACACAGAACCAGCCCAGCACACAATTGCTGTCAAAGGTAAAGTCAGACTTCAATTTGTAGCTTTCAGACAATCACATCAGTATGTAGATTACCAAGGAAAAACATGACTGCTGAGGGTTGGACTGGGAACAGAAGAGAAATTTCGGGAGATGCCTAAGGAAGGTCCCTTTTATCATTAAAAGCTGTTTCTATGTCGCCTTCAGCTTTCTCCCTTCAGTTCCTAAAGAAAACTCTAGGATGGAATTAGGTCCTATAACTGTCAGCCGTGTATTCAGAGGAGAGTGTGACTTATGGGGCAGATGCACTGCTTGCAAAAATAATGTCCAGCATTTATAAGGGGCAGCAGGGTAGGCATCCTTCTCCAAATGAAAAACGGGTTCTGAGAGCTCTTTGTAGAGAAGGCAGCTGGAGCTCAAGCCTTTCACCACTCTAGTTCACTGCTAGCTCACAGATTCAGCTGGTCCTGATGAGCCAAAGGGTTTGCAGATACCTGGATCTCATATTCCTGGCCCACTAGACCTGAAGTTGGCAACATTTTCCTCAGTTTATACCTGGGAAACGGAACTTCAGAGGGCTTAGGTCATATTGCAAATTCTTGAGATAACCAAGAAGTATCAAGACTAAAACTGCAGGCTGGAGATGTGACTCAAGCTGTAGAATGCCTGCCTGGCAAGTGCAAAGCCCTGAGTTCAAAAACTCCAGTACCACAAAAAAAAAAAAAAAAAGGTTAAAATCTGGTCTTCCAACCATGAGTATTACCATATTTTCTCTCCTTCCTATTTTGAAGGCCCAGCTAATTCCCCAACATATTTCTTCTCAACATAACCATATGGTTTAATTGTTTCCAAGAGACTTTGATTGACAGACGTTGCATTTCCCGGAGGAAAAGTGAATTTCCCTTGCTTATAGGTAAAAGTATCCTTGATGATCAGACTTCAGTTCCCATGGAACTTCAGCCCCAGAAGCGTATCTAAGTAATGTAGGAGTGTAGTTGAGTATAAGTAGAGGTGATGGAGGGAAGTGGAGGAGGAAACTGGCAAGAGCCAAAGTTCTCTCCATGACTCCAAAGTCGGCAGGTGGCCTTGCTAACAGAGTCTGCAGGTGTCATCACTAAGAACCAAGGAGACCTAGGCGTTAGTCCAGAGCAGTTCAGGAATGGTGACTTCTATTTGCAAAAAGCTGAGTTATTGGGAAACATTATCACTTAGTCGCATGAGATCCAGTTACTTGTTTTAGAAAATTGATTTCCTTTGTTTGTGTGGTGGCAATGAAAGACAGACTGATAGTCTGACTTAAGAATGGGCACTTACATTCAGTGCAGGAGCAGAAGTAGCCTAGGTCAGGAAGAAGGTGCTTGGTACAGTGGTCTACCAACCTTGGTCATATGACTTCATCAGTACATACTGTGCTTTTCCACACATATACATATTTGTTTGTAAAGTACACACACTTCTCTCACTAAAATCTAAAAAAATGCTTTCTAAAATATATACAAAATTGTAAATGTTCAACAAATGAGAAAAAAAGAATCAATAGGAATTCCTATATTCATTTTCTCTCCAGTGAATGGGCTGTTCATTCAACTGTAGAAAACACAAGTGTTCTAAGGACCCAATGTCACTGCAGCATTTGGGCTCTGACTTTTTCAATTAAAAATTGAAATTATTTATCTATTAACTTGATGGTAATTGTTTTCTTTCACATAGTCCTTTGGAGTTTTTGTTGTTTGTTTTGTTTTTGCAGCACCAGGGATCAAGCCAGGGCCTCAGGCATATGGTAGGCAAATACTGTACCACACACTACAACTCTGGCCACTGGACACTTTAAAACCCTAATTTCTTTCATCTAGGGCAGAGATTCTCAAAGTGTGGCCTCCTGACCACTAGTATCACCATCATTGGGAACTTGTTAAAATGCAAAGTCATGGATCTCCCCTCAGAATTTTCTGGGGATGAGGCCCAGAAATATGAGTTTTCACTAGCCTGCATTTTGATGATTCTAATAAGCACAAAGGTTGAAAAACCCCCATCTAGAGTCAGCACTGGTGGCTCACGCCTGTAATCCTAGCTACTCAGGAGGCAGAGATCAGGAAGATTGAGCTCTTAGGCCAGCCCAGGCAAAAAAAGCAAGACCCTATCTCAAAAAATACCCAACACACACATGCACTCACACACAAAAGGTTGTCAGAGTGGCTCAAGTGGTAGAGTGCCTGCCTAGCAAGTATGAGGCCCTGAGTTCAAGCCCCAATACTGACCATCTAGGTCATTAGACCAGATGAATCTTATCTTTGTCATCAAATAAATTCTAGTATGTGGTTAAAATGTACAAAATGTCAGAATTGACACTTAATGCTGTTCCCTCTGATTTTAGGATTTACTTGAGATGCAGTACGAAGGAGTGGCTGTGATGAAAATGTTTGATAAGGTTAAAGTAAACGTAAACCTTCTCATCTACCTGCTCAACAAGAAGTTCTATGGCAAGTGACACACCTGCAGAGATTTCACAGGCTGTTTCATCTGCAAGAAAGGAGTTTGCTTAGTATTTTTGTTTTTAAACATGATTGAAATCACTGCTTATAAACGTGTGATTTTTTTTTTAAGACCAAAACTGTTCGGAAGAATGTACCCATGTGCCTTTTTGCTAATTTGATACTACAGTAGAATGACACACAAAATGAATTAACGTAAACATCCACATTGTATTGTGGCATAGGTACTCTGATTTAAAACTCTGGGCACCCTGTGATTTGTTTTAAAGTAGGGGGACAAGTTTAGCTGACTAGGGACAGATGTGTACACCTATTTTGCTATGAAAAATTTTAAATGTCCCACTTGAATAATGTAATTCTTCATAGATTTTTTTTATCTGTGGAGAAAAATGTAAACCTAATGAATTTGTAATGAATTATTTAGACATATAGTTCTAAGCCCTGTCTTCTGGGAATTGTCAATTTTAAAAGAGAACTTTTGTGCAATTCAAAATGAAGTTTTTATAAGTAATTGAGAGTGATGATACAATAACACTTTCTGTATGAAAGTATATATTTTATGTGATTTATTCCTACTAAATGAAAGTGCACCACTGCCTCATATAAAGACTCTTACCAGGAGTTTTTCAGTGACTAAGAAACACCATGGATACCAATCATAGGCCCCATCTCCAGCCCTCACAATTTATTTGAATACTTCAATTTTACCTCTCAATTTTTGTAATGCTATAAAATCAGTATCTAGATTGTTTTTAAATGTATTCTTTGAAAATTGTTTTATGTAAAATAAATGTTACTTAATTACATTAATGTGACTTTTGTTTGATCATTTGTTTTTGGCTTTTGAGACAGGTCTCACTGTATAACCCAGACTGGCCTCAAATTCATGATTCTCCTCCTGCCTCCACCTCCAGAGTGCTGGGATTATAGGAACATACCACCATGCATGGCTCCATTAATGTGGCTTTTAAGTTGTCTTAATAAATCTAGTCATTTAATGGGTAGAAGATTCTTGGAGAAGCTTATCAGAAACAGAAATGTACCTATAACTGTACTTGTTAGGGTATAGCATAAGTTGCTGCAAGGAAGAAATACAAAATCCTTGTCACAGAAACAAAACAAAGAAGTTTGTTTTTCTCAAGTCCAGCAATTCAAAGTTAAGTGAGTAGATCCACAGGTCCTCCAGGATCCAAGCTAGCCAGTTGGCTCTCTACTTGCCATCGATACCCAACAAGCAGGAAAAACCATTGTGAGTTATAAGGGCCACTTCTGCTTACATTCTATGGTCATAACTAGAGTCCTTAGTCTGTTTTGTGTTGCTATAACAACATACCTGAATGCTTTCCAAAGAAAAGGTGTTTATTTTGGTCACAGTTCTAGAAGTCTAGGATGGTACCAGCATGTGCAGGGATTTGGGTAAGATCCTAACAGCAGAGGTCATCACACAGCATCATGTGTGGAAGAGACAAAACACCAGGGTAACCTTGCTTTATAACAACCCACTCTTCAGTAACTAATCTAGTCCCAAGAGACCCAACTCACTCCCTCAAGACCTCATCTAGTCTTGAGCAACCTAATCCAGCCTCTGAAGAAAGACACTGATCTACTCAGGAGGATGGAGCACCACTGATTAATTATGAACGTCCTACCACCACCTCTCAACACCTTCACTGGGAATCAGATTTCAACATGAGGACAAAGCCGTGGCAATCCCAACTAGGCAGCTACATATCCAGCTAAATCCCATGGGTGGTTCTCTTACTAAGAGGAAGGAAGTGACCCCTGGGGACAGTTTGGCCATCTCTGCCACAACAATAACTCAGACTCTCAGGTAGGAACCTCCCTGACACTTTGTTCATTCATTCAATAGGCTTTACTTCCCTTGGCAATTTGGCACAAATGAACTTAGATGAAAAATTGACAGAATTTGGAAAATTCTAATTTTATAATCCAGCTACACATTTTTGACAAAGGTTGAAACCTCAAAACAATGCTATCAATGGCTTGTGGGTGTGGGGGTGATTTTTAAAGAATTAGTCTTAATGCAGTTTTCTATAAAAGGAATCAAATAGACAATTAAGTGTTTCCTTGAAAATAAACGTCCCTCTTTACTGCTAGTATTGGAAAGTGAGGAGCAGGAGTAGGAAGAGGGGCATCCTTAAGTTTCCTTCTTCTTGCTCCAGGAAAGAGTTTTAGTGGAAATATGCATAAGCCAAAATTAGCCAGGGACTGGTAGCTCACATCTATAATCCTAGCTACTTGGGAGGCTAAATCAAGAGGATCATGATTCGAGGCCAGTCCAGGCAAATAATTTGCAAAGCCCCATCTCCAAAATAACCAGAGCAAGATGGACTGGAACCGGAGGTGTGGCTCAAGCAGCAGAGCACCTGCTTTGCAAGCATGAAGCCCTGAGTTCTAACCCCAGTCCCACCAAAAAAAAAAAAAGCCAAAATTAGGAAGTGGGGCTTGAAAACAAAAGTCAGACTTTTCACAGCATCTTGGGAAGGAGCTTAGCATATTCTAACACTGAATGCTTGAGTGTTGTGAGTGGAGTAAAGGCACCCATGTCAGTGCCTTCAAGGAAAGCTGAGGATGCTGTCTGTCTGTGGGACCGCAAGATAAGGGTGGTATTAAAGACAGCACCCACTACCCTTTGATTGCAATCTTTAATAAAATAAGTGAGTGGCCCAGAGAAAGAGAAATGTGATGAAGAAAAGGAGCCAAACAGGAAATCAATGGGGACACAGATGTGTGCTACAGCCAATGCCTGGGCCACCCTTGGGAGGACTGAACCATTCCCAAGGCAGGGGACAGTTGTTTCTTCTAACTGCAGCCACAAGGGCTGCAGAATAGCTTCAGCTTCTCCAGAGCTCATAAGTTTTCTTACTCAGGGAAAAACTTTTTTTTTTTTTTTTTTGCAAAACTGCCTCCTATCTTTTGATGTCTATTTGATCATGTTCCCGCTCTTACAAAACTGGACTTTAATGGGGCCTAAACTCCACTGTGACATCTGACCCTTAAGGGCAAAAGCACATTGAAGCAACACTGAGTCACTCTCTGACTGTGTGCTCTCGTGAGCATCAGGAAAGGGAGGCCAGGACCTGTCCACTTTATTCTGAAGCCAGCGGCTAAGAGGCTAACCCAGCGTGATCGCTGTAACGTGCATGCTGTGTGGCTGGACGCCAATTAGAGGTGCTACTCGTGATGTGATTTTTATGTCTCTGTGGTGAAGTAGGGATTTGTGGTATTCCTCAGACATCCCAAGAGGCAAACCACAGAACTCAGAATGATAAAAGAATATATTTTGAAATATTTTCTGGGCACTGGATAGTCTTACTGCCAGTTAGCTTTTTGAAGATTTTGTTGTTTCTATTACTGAAACGAGAGCTTGGTAATAGGTTAAAATAAGAGTCCTCTGAGCTCCAGAGGGCAGAGGCTTTGTTTCAGTCCCTCTGTAAGTGCAGAGCCTAGCGTATATTGTAGATGTCAAGGGGTTCTGGTAATGGGGTTAAATAAAAAGAGTCCGACCCCTCCACCCCACTGCCCTACTTGGCACACACTTGTATGGGTGGAGCTTTCACCGGTAATCAAGGTAAAACAATGGAAATTCTGTCAGTCTCCAGATAAAACCAGGGCTGAAAGGTTGGCTCAAGTGGTAGAGCACCTGCCTACCAAGTGTGAGGTCCTGAGTTCAAACCCCAGTACTGCCAAGAAAAATAAAATAATTGGTACAGCTAGGCACTGGTGGCTTACGTCTATAATCAGAGCTACTTGGTAGGCTGAGATGGAGAGGATCACAGTTAGAGGCCAGCCTGGGCTCATAGACCTATCTCCAAAATAACCACAGCAAAATGTACTGGAAGTGTGGCTCAAGTGATAGAGCTGCTTTGCAAGCATGAAGCCCTGAGTTCAAACACCAGTCCCAACAACAAAAATAAACAATAAATAGCTGATGCAGATTTGCTAGACTACCTTGCTACTGTCTTCCTTAGGGGATAAAAATCTCTTAGCTGAAATACCTTGGAAGGAAATCAAAGAGGACAACTGAAAGATATTGAGTTCACCTAAGCAAACTGGAACAAAAGTGTTGTTTTTTGTTTGCTTTTCAACAGATATTGAATTTTTCTTTGCCAAATGAGCATCCAACCCATAGGGATAACTTACACTCTGTCCATGGTAGAATTGGTAGAAATACAGTTATTGATCTATTGTGACAGATTAACTTTACTTCTAAACCCAAAATACCAGGTTTGTAACAACAGAAGAAACAGGACTCCTGCTGGCTAGCGTATAACTTGATTACAACTGACTATTTGCTTAAAAAACAAATGTAGAGGTGTCTACACATACCCTGGAGGACCTCGTGCCTACTGTGAACACAGGGGCTTTCATTTTATGTTGCCTCTGGTATCACCACCATTAGTATCTGGAAGGAAATTATTAGGAAAGTTCTTATAATACACCATTGTCTTTGGAGGATTTGAATAGAGGCATAGTAACCAGAATACCTGAAGCAGGTAGATCATCTAATGGCTTAAAAAGAAATGGATTTCTTGTCATTTGGGGCTTAAAGTTTTCATGTTGATGCTACATTTGTTTTAAAACACTAGTAAATACCATAAACATAGGAAGATGGCTAATGACACACTGGTGCCAGGCAAGTTAAAACAGGGAAGCAAAATCCCAGGAGTTCATATCAAGTAGTTACGGCATGAACAATGTGCACTGTTGAGATTTCACTTCTAAGGAAGGTGTTTATCATTTCCAGGTAGGTAATTTTTCTACTCTGGGCAATGTACATACATTTGCTATAAAATGGACAAAGGAGTTTTAGCATAGGTGGTAAGGTGCCAAAGAAGCAGAGGGAGCTGGGACATGACTCAAGAGGTAGAGCACCTGCCTAGCAAGTGTGAAACCCTGAGTTCAAATCCCAGTACCACCAAACCAAAAACACAAAGCAGAGGAATCAATGTCTTTTTCCAGAAGCTCGAAAGAAACTTTGTAAGTCTTATGACCAGAGAAAAGAGAACATCACAAACAGACCATAACACAAATGAGAAATCAATCTAAAGAGGCAGTCAAAACCTCCACTGCTTATGGGTTGAATGTTTAATGAGCTTGACAAAATACTTAAGTCAGGAATTGCATCTATCCACATAGCATCACACAAAATATAGTTGCAGAAGCCTTTGAGGAAAAAGCAGTGAGGATCAACAAAGCAATCAGTTCAAAAAGCTAAAAGACTAAACCCAAAGAAAGTAGAAGAAAAGAATTAAAATCTCACGTGGAAATTAGTGACATTAAAAATAAAACAACAAAATAAAAAGATGAGAGTTGAAACACAGTCAATTCTAACAAGATGTGGTGGTGCACAACTGTAACACCAGCTATTTGAGAGGTGGCGATCAGGAGGAACATGGTAGGAGGACAACCCCAGGCAAAAAACACCAGGTTCCGTCTGAAAAATAACTAAAGCAAAGAAGAACTGTGGACCTGGCTCGAGTGGTAGCCTAACAAGCACGAAAACTCTTGAGTTCAAGTGCCCCCCAAAAAAGAAAAATAGCCACTTTCAGCCTCTGGACAGATTAATCAAGAAAGTAAAAAATAAGTTATGTTAGGAATAAAAATGAGGATAAAACTATAGATAAAATAGTTTTAGAAAGATAAAATATAGCATAGCACACTATGGAATACTGTAAACTTTTTGGGCTTATTTGAGACAGGGATTTGCTATGTAGTTCAGGCTGGCCTCAAACTCCCAGCTCTCCTGCCTCAGCATCTCAAGTGCTGGAATTGCAGGGGCACACCACCATGTCCATCTAGTTTTAAAAAGAACTAGATATATATGAAGGAAGCAAGTAAATCTAGAAGAACGCAAGTTGCACAATTTCTAAGAGCATGTTGAAACATTAAAAATATCTTCAAATATTTAAAGCTTAAAAAGCAATAATATTTTTGGAAACATATGAGTGTACTAAAAGTACAAAAATGTGGTTGGGAATGAGAAAGAAATCAGAAAAGGATACAGAAGCCTAAACGGTATTATGGACATATATGCATATATGTATATAGATATGCTAATGCCAGGCTGTGATACCACAGGTGTCTTATCAGGTGGCTGTAAATTCCTACACTTGCGATATTGTGTAATTTAAAGAAAGTGATGAGGTCGGGCACTGGTGGCTCACACCTGTAATAATCCTAACTATTCAGGAGGCCGAGATCAGGAGGATCATGGTTCAAAGCCAGCCCCCCCACAAATAGTTCAAGAGACCCTATCTTGAAAATACCCAACAGAAAACAGGGCTGGTGAAGTGGCTCAAGTGGTAGAGTGCCTTCCTAGCAAGCATGAGGTCCTAAGTTCAGGCCTCAGTGTCACCAAAAAAAAGAAGATGAAGAAGAAAGAAAGTGATAAACTATAGTTGGCACTTCATATTTGAAGGTTCCACATTCAGTCAACCAATGGAAAATACTGGGGTGGGGGTGTGGATTGTGTCTGTGCTGAATGTATAGAGAATTTTCTCTCTTTTTCTGTCATTATTCCCTTAAATAATACAATGTAATAATACCTATTTATGTTGTATTAGGCAAAAGTAATCTAGAGATGATTTAACATATACTGAAGGATATTTGTAGGTTAGTTACATGCTAACGCTGTGCCATGTCACATAAGAGACATGAGCATTCCTTGGAGGTCCAGGAGCCAGTCCCCTTTAGATACTGAAGAACAACTGAATATGGAATCGTGGTTACTTCTTTTCCCAGCTCTCTCAAAACCATGTTTCAAAATGTGCCAGCCTTACCCAGCAGCATCAGCACCACCCGAAAACTTGATGGAGACCTCTCCAGAGACCTACTGCACAGAATCTCTGCAGAGGTGGCCCAGGGCTGAGGGCTTAACAAGACGTCCAGGTGCTCCCGGCCAAATTTTGGTCTGGGAACCCTCAGGCCTCACCATCACCTGGGAGTGTTATTCAAACATGTGGACTCTAATACTGTAGGGTAGGATGGGGTCCAAGAATCTGCATATGTGTTGCTTTAAAAGTAGTTCAACTTTTGGTGACTGCTCTAGTAACAATTCACAATCTTTGGAGAATAATAGAGTGAGGAAGAGATACTCTGTTTCCCTCTCCTTCTGCTTCTTTGTACTTCATTCCCACTCTGAGGGTACTTTAATTAATATGTACAGGTAATTTAAGCATTTCATTGATTCTTTTTGCAACTTAGAGGTACATTTTATTCTAATACCTAAGCCCGGAAAGTGTCATTTTTACACTTTACAGTTTTGTGAAATGGTTAAAAACATTTTCCACCACCGAAATAAATAAAATTTAAAACTGTAGATGTAGTATTATTACATTTTCAAAGATATACATAAGGATATATTTATATGTGTGAGGATACAGTTTCTTGAATGATGGGCAGCAACATAATAGTAGCCATAGAGACCATAGAAGATGAGGCAAAAGGTAAGTCCCTGTTTTATCTATGGTTTTGCTTTCTATACCTTCAATTACCTGCATGCAGCCAACCCATGTCTACAAATATCACATGGAAAATTCCAGAAATAAATAATTCATAACTTTTAAGGCCATTCTGAGTAAGGTGATGAGGTCTCACTCCATCTGACCCAGGGCTTTGCCAATGACCCTTTTGTCCAGGGTACCCACACTGTATACACTACCTACCCTTTAGTCAGGAGCCATCTCTATTAGATCAACTATCCCAGTATGTATCCCAGTGCTTGTGTTCAAGAGCCGTCCTAAAAAGTTTGGGGGAACTCATTCCCCGTGGCAATCTACAAGTCAAGCTCACCAGAGACGCTCTCTAACCAAGCAAAATACACCGCGGGCTCCTCCCCACCAAGTCTCAGCCGCGACTCCCCTTGAAGGTCCCTTAGCGAGCTGCGCGAGTGTCCCCCGCCCCGCGACCTGAATGTAGCCAAGCTCCTGTGATAGTTCACAAGCGTGTCGCCCCGGGCACCTTCACCCTGGAAGCCCCAGAGCACCATCCAGGGCACTGGGAAGGCGACGCCAGCGGGCAGCGGGGTGCGCACTGCAGTGGCACGGAGGATGAGCAGCGCTCGGGTAGGGCTGGTTAGTCCCACTCGCTATCGGGTATCCGAAAAACCAGTGCCCGACGTGCCAATCGTGTCACCTCGGGAAAGACAGAGAACTAAAATGTCACCAACGTGTGGGGACAACCTTGTCAAATCCCTTGTCCCTAACGTACAAAAACAGAAGGTACTCGCAAACTTTGGGCTGAATATCAAAGTTCCCCTAATCCCCAACACTGGCCACTGCGCGGGAGGGAAGCTGGGAGGTTTGAGTCAGGACAGTAGGCGGAGGCTGGCGCCCAGGGATGCATGTGGGACCAGAAGATCACCGTGTCCCAGGAGGGTAATGGCAGCTAAGGAAGCGACAGGCGAGCCTCACGGTCACAGCTGAGTCACAGACAGCCTCGTGGATCAAGGGCGCCCGGAGGAAAAGCGTCTGGGGCTGCGGGCGCGCGGCGCGGAGAGGGGCGTCAGGGTGGCCGAGGCTCGGGGACGCGGGGGCGGAGACCACCGGGAGGCGCTGCTCTGGCCCGTGCGCCGACCCCGGCCCCGCCTCCGGCCCCGCACGCCACGCCCCCGCCGGGGTCCGCGCCCGCCCCGCGGGTTGCCAGCCGCCGCCGAGCTCTCCGAGCGCCCGGACGCCGAGCCACAGCTTTTCGGCCGCAGGTACAGGCCGGCTGCAGCACTCGGTGGGAAGGAGCCACAGGACCGAGCCGAGCCGCCTGGCCACCAGTCCGCGGCGGGGCAGCCTCCGGGATCGCCGCCGAGCCCAGGCGCGCCGCCTGGGGACAATGGGGCCGCGGCGGCTGCTGCTGGTCGCTGCCGGCCTCAGTCTATGCGGCCCCCTGCTGTCCGTCCGCACCCCGGCCCGCAGGCCAGGTGAGAGCTGCCCGGGAGTGCGGCGGGCGGGAGGAGGAGGGACGCACGCCGAGCCCCGCTGCGCGGGTCCGGGTGGTACCTGCTCCCCAAGGGAGCTGCCCATCCACACCCCTGCCTCAGTTTCCTTCAGAAGACAATCGGGCGTTTGGACTCAGATCTAGAGTCCTCCCCAGTCACATCCAGGTCGGGGGGGTGCACCCCAGACACCCCATTCGGATCCCGGCCGGCCGCTGCCGGGTTGGACTGGGCTTGGGAGGATGCAGCCCGCCTGCCACCGGCTGTGGGTAAAGAGGAAGGGGCCTATTTTGGAGCAGGCCTCCGTGGTGCATTCATTGTCATTGTGTGGCCTGCTTCCCGCAGGACCACCTCCAAAAAGAAAGGGGTTTCCGTAGCTCCAATAAATGTCCCGTCCTTTCAATGGAAAGTAGAGGGCCACTCTCGCTGCAGTTTTGCTTTGTTGGAGTTTTTATTTCTTGCACGTTTTACAGGGAAGGAAAGTGTTGCAAAGGAAAGCCCTAGGCATGTTTAGCAGACAATAAGAAACAGAAGTCCCCAGCTCAGCCTTGTCCACAGATGGTGCACTGGGTTATAACAGATAACAGTTGTAGGACCCGGTGGTAGGGGGTTGGGATCGGTGGGGTGGGGGAGGTCTTTGTTACCAGAACCCATTTGGTCTGGGACATCTCCGCAGAGCCAGGTTCCCCAGACACCACTGGACCCTAGCTGTTCTTTTTTTTTAAATTGTTGTGCTGGGTGAGGTGCAGTTGGCATTTACAGAAATTCTTACAATGTATCAAATATCTAACTGCTGTTAATAGAATCTCTCCTCTGCTGGAAGGTGATTTCACACACTCCCTAGTAGCGGTGTACTTTCAAGTTTCTGGCTACTTGATCAAAATGAATAAATCTGGTCTACTTATTTGGTCAGCTATTTGCTATTCTCCCTTCCTCAAAGCAGGACTGAGTTGTTTTAGCCCTGGGAAGGCACTAATTAGAAAGTGAGGAAAAATGTTTTTGCATTTCTTAATAGCAATAATCCATTAGAAACTTTTAGCCACACTTTTCATGCAGAAGAAAATTTAGTGGGGTTTGGCAGTTTTGTTATCAGTGAAAGAATACACACTGTCTGTTGCTCCCACACATCAGGATTAAGAGGTGACAAAGACATAGCCATGTTCCCACTCTCCCCCTTTGCTCAGTGTGAGTTTGAAGAGATGTTCTGGGGAGAGCTCAGATCCTAGACAAGGGCCCCAAGTATAGTAGCACCTCACCAGCCTGCCTGTAGATAACATGGGTGTTGTCATCAGCAAAGGGCTGGGGAGAACTGAAAAACCGGGTATGCTGATGTTTGATTTCACATAACTTTCTGTGATTTGCTTCATTTTATTTGGGGACTAGCTCTTGAGAATACAAAGTTTTGTTTCAGATTTGGGGGATGGATGGAGAACAGGGGTACACAAATGTCACATCACCTTAGCCACTCTTCCTTACAGTAGTTCCCCAGGAGGGTTTTTGGCACCTTTAGATAATGATGTTAAAAGCTGCTGGGTTTTGCCACGTTTCTTGCTTGTGAAGGAATGGGCATGCTAAGTGGACAGCGGTGTAGACAGACCACTGAGCAAATGTTGGCTAATTTACCCTCACTGGATTCTGGAACCACTTGGGAGGGAAAGAAGAAAGGAGGACAAGAAGAAAAGGAGTGTGTTTTAATTTCACCATCCCATGTCTAGCCCTTGGTCAGAAGGAATTATCGCCTACATTATCTTCCCTCACACATTTTGTTAAGGTGCAGTCTATTCCCTTTTGCTGATTCTGAAACTAAGGCCCAGAGACAGTGGCGTGCCACATTGGGAAGGGGTCTCAGAACAGTCCACTCATACTGGGCACTGACAATAAGTGGGACCTTCATCTTTAGAGAGTTTAAAATCACTTAAAAAAAAAAAAACCAAATAGGCCTGCTTTTTAATTATCACTACGTACCGGCAATTATAAAGTGTCTGACATAAATTATAGGTGCTAGGACCTCTCCTACCATCCAACAATGCTTCCCCTACCCTTGATATGCCACTGCAGGGCAGGGGGATGGGGGACAGGTGGACACAGAGGGCTTACTGTCCCAGATCCCCAATGTTGTGCACTAAGAGGAGGTATGACAGCCCTGCAGGGCTGGCCCTGCCCACCAATCTGAGCTTTTCTGCAGCACTTTTGGGCTTTTTGTTCCCACTCATCTTGGCATTTCCTGCCCTGTCGTTCTGTAGATATCTCATCTCCCCAGCCAAGTTCATGGCTTTCATTTATCCTCATGAAGTCTAGCACAGATGTTCACTTAGCACATATTTGTTGAGAAACTTGCAAGTTTGTCAAGCAGTTTGCATGCCTTTGGTCAGGCAAGATGAGATGACTTGTGTTCTTTGAAGAAGACCAGTGTCCAAGAGTAAATGGCAGCCAGGTGCCGGTAGCTCACGCCTGTAATCCTAGCTACTCAGGAGGCAGAGATCAGGAAGATAGCAGTTCAAAGCCAACCCTGAAATAGTTCGTGAGACCCTATCTCGAAAAACCATCACAAAAGTAGGGCTGGTAGAGTTGCTCTAGGTGAAGGCCCTGAGTTCAAACCCCAGTACCACAAAAAAAAAAGAGTAAAAGGCAATGTTTGGGAATTTTACAAGGATCTAGAGAGTCAATGTGTTCAAGAATAGCTGGGGGTGATGTGGTAGAGCACGCTGGGTGGGTGAGCCTCCATGCTGTCCTCCCCAATGGGTCAAGCCCAGTTCCTTAGCCAGGAATGAGGTGCCTCCCTGTGCAGGATGAGTCCCTGCTCCTCTCCAGAACCCCTAACTCATCCTCCACTTTACCCAGCTCCACTCTGCTTCCTCCCCCAAGGAATTATGCTTTCTCTGACTTCTGTTCCCATGTCATTCCTTCTGGCTTCTAATAGCCCATTTAATTAGAAACAGCTGCTCTATGGAGGCCTACACAGCCAACAACCCCACTTGGGTAATTTATAAAGGGAGTCTTATTTATTGCTCACAGGGTCTTTTGAGTAGATGTCATCCCCACTTTGTAGGTGAGAACGCTAAGACCTACAATGGTCAAGTCTAATAAGAGGTAGAATTGGGACTTGACAACAGGCCTATCTTTCCTAAGTACAGGCTTCACCTGCCATCTCTGTAGAGAGGGAGCCACCAAGACTCCCAGCCCCTCTAGTGATAGAGAAGTAACCCACTGTGCTCCCCAGCACTCCCTAGAGGGCAAAGTCTGGGCCACATTAGCTTGGTGGTCCAGGGGGTGGGGAAGAGGCATTTAGTAAACGTGTCATAGACCATAGTATCCTGCCACTTGGTTTTACTAACTGATGATAAGGCAGGCTATAAATAAATCTGTACTCATGAGTATGCTAATTAATTAGCTGTTACCACAAAGAGATGTTAATCTTGAGGCTAAACAGACTTAAAACTGGACATTTTGCCCTAAGCTGACTGGAAAGCTCTATCAATTCTGAAAGCTGGATCTCTCAGGAGCAAATAATTTTCCTCTCTCTGCCTTTCATATACCTTAGGGGCTTTGCCTGTATGTTTACATGTATGTTACATGTGGAGGTTCTCTCCTCATTTGCCCACCCTTCCTAGGTGGGAGGGCCGATTTCAGAGGTACTCCCGGCCTCCTCAGGATCCTCTCTGCCATGCACTGGCTGCCCCCACTCCTCCCTTCATCCAGCACTGATTTGCTCCTTCTTGGTAGCTCTCAATTTGCACCTTTTCTACAACACTTCTGGCCATTCTCCTTCCCTGTGACCTTTCTGCCCCCTTCCTTTCTCCTCAGTCATTTCACCTTTGTCCCATCACTCTCACAAACTGGAACTCTCTTGGGTCTTGAGCAGAAGGAGCCCAGAACAATGGGGTCCCCATTACCCTGTGTTTCTAGTCCTGCTGCTCTCCACATTTTGGACGCATATCCCTCCTTTCCCCCCACAAGGAACATCTTTGTCTCTGTCTTCTCTCTTTCCTTCTCTCCCTCCTTCACTCTGCCTTCCTTCCTTTATTTTTTTTTTAAATTCACATAACATAAAATTAATCACGTGGCAGTATACAGTTAGTGACATTTAGTACATTTACCATATTGGAATCACCACCTCTACCCAGTCCCAAAACATTGTCATCACCCCAAAAGAAAAACCCTATGTTCACTGAGCAGTCAGTCTCCAGATCCCTTTTTCCTAATCCTTGGAAACCATCTATTTGCTTTTTGTGTCTATAGGTGTGCTTATCTTGGGATTTCATGTACAATGTGTGGCCTTTTGTGTCTGAGAAACTCCCCTTTCACTACAGTTTATGAGTCCCCAGCTCCCCCTTTACAGATACTACCAAAAACACTCTAGTTGTCAGGAGAGTCATTAAGAACCACGACCTTGGTTTAGATTTGACTGTGATTCTAGTATCCAGAACTCTGAAGTCTTAACAGTCAGAATTCTCTGTTTCCCTGTCCTGTGGCTTCTTTCTTTCTGCCTTTTCCTCGCTCCTGCTTGTGCCTAGAACTGTCAAACTAAATAGCACCTCTGTAGGCCAAGACGTTCCTCTGGGTATTAGCTTTCCATTCCCCACATTGACTTTGTTGTGGTACTCAGCCAAACCCTCTGAAGTCCCCACCCTAAGACATCCAAGGAAGCTTTGCCATTTAAAATGTCCTCATAGGCTTTTGTATGCTCTTCATTTGCTTTCAAAAGTAACTAGCCGTTTGAAATGACAGGAATAATTTATAATTTGTACTTATTGTATCACTTTAGGAAAAGATTTTATGTAATCTATATTTCAAGTCTCTAATAAATTAGATGTCAGGTGTTATAGTACTACAGAAAAATACTTATCAGTAGACTCTTTTTCTGCTAACCAGCAGTAAGAAGTGTAAGAAGCCCACTTTCCATTGGGACACAGTAGGGGTGTGTGTGCAGTAAAGATGGAAGGCAGTCACATGGAGATAGGAAGCAGAAGTTTTACCAAGCAATG